TTCTGTCCATTCGTGTTGGCTAAAGACGCAAAGACAGCGTGGTACTTGACCCCGGATGAGCGCGAATACGCTGAGAAACGCATGGTCATCGATGCGGCCGCGAATCTGGACGGCACCTATAAGATCTCGAGGCGTGATATTGTGGAGGCGATCAAGGACTGGAGGCTCTGGGTGACCCTCTCCTCAAATATTCTCGCAAGTATGTCGTCCCAGGGCTTCACTATCTTCTTCCCTGTGGTTGTTAAGGTTCGTTGCCTACTGCCAAGCGTAAGCAGACTCTGAACGTGGAATGCAGGGTTTGGGCTACACTGGCGCGCTGGCGAACCTCATGACGGTGCCTCCTTACGTTGCGGGAACGGTCGTTCTCTTGTTCTTCGCCTACTCTTCCGATCGGCGCAAGGACCGGACATACCACATCTTGGGGTGAGCTGTCTGATTTTTTCACGGGTGGTCCAAAACTCACATATTGGCTAGAGGATTGCTTATTGTCATCGTTGGTCTGATTATGACCGTAACTCTGCCCCTAAGCAACACTGGAGGGCGTTATGCGGGTCTTCTGATTCTGCTTTCTGGATCATTCATTTCTTCGCCTCTTACGAGCGCTTGGCTATCTGGCAACACCCCCGAGCCCGGAAAGCGCGTCGTTGTCCTTGCTGTCAATGGCTGGGGCAACCTTTCAGGCATTATCGGTTCTGAGCTTTTCCTCGCTCAATATGGTCCGGATTACCATTACCCGTTGTCGGTGACGCTCGGGCTGATGGTCTGCGCGTTCTTCCTCTATGCACTCCTGCATGTGCTCCTCCGCTTGACCAATAGGTGGAGAGCGAAGAAACTCGCAAACATGACGGTGGAGGAGATTGAAGAGGAGAACAGGTCCGACGTGCGTGTTGGTGACAAGAAGTGGACCTTCGTGTATGGCTTGTGAGGTGTTCTCGGGTGGAGGGACATACACAGTACAGTACTGAACAGAACGCGCCCTCGTGATACAGGGTGCGCGTTGATTGTAATACATAGCCGCAATGCACACCATTTATTACTCCATGAAACAGAGGTCACACAACGAACGTGACTGTCTTTCCGCCGATCTCGATTGTGCCTGGACGAGACCGTGACTGTCCGAATGACCAACTGGTGATTACCTTTCAGACGCACTATGCCCTGCAGTTGGGTTAAACTCACCCACACTTGTCGTGCCCGAGTATCGCTAAGGGGATCATACAGTACGTCTGTGTCGTGTGATTGATGGGATGTAGATTACAGAAGTACAGAGAAATGTGGCGAAAATCACCACGTATCACAGAATATCATAGCCTGCCAGCCTGGCACCAGATCTCTCACTGCATGGCCTCTTCAAGACCTCGTTGATTTTCATGCGATGGCCCACAGCTTGCTCGATAGTGCTCTCCCAGGTCCTGAACCATGCACCTTCCTTCACTCCTACATCTCCACGACGGAAATACCAGACTTCTCCGCCTAAGGCCCAGCGACCTGGTTTGTAGTAGCACAGGAGATAGGGCATAATGAGCGAGAACCAAAGAAGGAAGTGCCCAAAGCTGGTATCGTATAAGCTTATGACGCAAGGGAAGAGGCAGGTCTTACGCATTGGAATACATGCTCGACCAAACACCAGGCGGGCGCACATAAACATGACGTCCTGAGACGTCGAAGGTGACTTTGACTTCTCCTGCATATCCCGTACGAAGAGCAACACCCTTGATAGCTGCCCAATTGTCAGTAACCGACCTTTATACAGAGTACACACTCCTACCTTCGCGAAGCCCCTCCCAGTCCCATCCGTCTACCCCTTTCGTCCACTCCCACTGCTTCAGCGGCCCCTTCCTCTCTACATAATCTTTCACCCACTTTTTGAGCGCCTTTGAGCTCCGCATAAGTTCCCGATCTTCGATCTCAACCTCTTCTCCTTCCCGCGCCCTTGCAGCGTCGACCCCTGGAAGTCCGAGCCAGCGCTGTTTGTCCGTTGCTCCGCGGTAGACGAGCGCCTCGTCTTCTGCGGTCCATATCACAGGCTTGCAAAGCAGATATTGAGTAAGGTCGATGCGCAGCTCAAATCCGGTCATCTTGACTGTCTTCTCCACCAGCTTGGTCGTCTGGGTGCGGCGGATCCGTGTTTCCCCGCCATCGTTCGACGAGGCTCCGATAGATGTAGGGACTTTGTTCATCGGGGCCTTGCTCAGCTTTTTGGGACTAGATTTCTTGGTGCTAGAATCCGAATCTTCTGGTCCCTCTTGATCATACTCAGAGGTAGATGGATCCGGCTGAGCAGTCGAACGCTGCTTATGCTGATCACCGTTTTGCACCGTCGTGTCCTCCACGACCTGCTCTTCGAGTCGTGTCTCCTCATGTGTGCCTACGATATGACATATGACGCGTGGAGGCACACTGCGCTGCGTGAGGAGGAAGTCATACAAAGCATTTACTAAAGAAAACGTCTTCATGAGCTGCATATAACAGGTAGAGAAGGCAGCAGACCATCAGTGTTGATCGTCTCGTCAGTGCAGGTTACATCCCCGTTGGAAGCGATTTCCACTCCAGAGGTTGGTGGAGGACGATCCTCAGTATTGGCAGGAACAGCAGGGGTATGAGATCTTTCAGCTGTGGAAGAGCTCCTAGAGCGCTCCGCACTGGCTGAAGGGCGGGAGGAGTCGTCGTATGCTGGAGGTGCACCGTCCTTTCCTTTACTCTCAGGGACGATCGTCATCTCGAGTCAAAGAGGCAGAAAGCAGCAGAAACAACAATGGTAGCTGACCGAGTCAACAGAACATGCAGATAACAGTGTGGAGAGGAAGAGCAGCGCTGCTATTTGTCACTTTTGAAGTGACGTGGAAGGCAACCCTTGGCTCTTTGCATAGAAGCTGCGCCGCCTACGCGCTTGGGCCGCAGCAGCACGGCAACATTAACTTTTGTGACTCATCACCGACCAGAGGGTGCGATCGCGCCGGATCTCGGAATACATATACAACTAGGAGCTGCGCCAATTCAAAGAGTAGAAATGGGCTTCTTCTAATGATCACCAAGCTGTCCAGGATAGGATAATTGACGTGCCCTTCCGGAAGCCTCATCCTGACACGTCATAAGGGATCCGTGTACTCGTGTCAGGGTTTGTGCTTTCTCATACTTTTTTAAAAATTCACAACGCCTGCCAGCACATCGACGCCAGCGGCATGATACACGGGCGACGACGATGTGTTGATAGAAAAGACAATAGAAACCGATCGCACGACACTCGCCACGTCACTCCTGCATGCTGCATGCATCAATAGAAAAATGCGGAGGATGTATATTGTCTCGGTAGAACAAGACAGCCTAGTCCTTGTAGAAAGTCCGTGCGTAGATCAAGTAGGGATAGGAAATAGGAAACACGAGGGAAAGAAGGAAGCAAACAAGGTCCCGGGGAGATGTGCTAGCTCGTTGAAAAAGCCGGCGGGGAGCTCAGGCAAGCAGCCCAGCGCCAAGTGCCAAGGCGGCGCTGAGCACCGTGCTTGCCGTAATGAGTTCCCTGAGCCAGCTGGATGACACGAGGGATGTAGCAGCGGAGCTGAAAGAAGTGGGCGTTGCGGTCGAGCTTGAGCTAGTGGACGAGGAAGACCTGATACAAGAAATCAGTCACAATTTCTAGTTTGTAAGGTAGAAGACGCACGAGGAGCCTGTGCTGGCGGAGGTGGTACTCCCGCTCACGCTCATAGAGGTCACTGTGCCAGAAGTAGAGGTCGTACTCGTGGTGGTCGAGGTAGCATCATTCTCAGTGACGGAGAAGGTGTCGGAAGTCGCGTAGACAATGTTGATATCAGAGATGTTGACAAAGGTGAGCACGTAGCCACCGCTGCACACGAGAGAAAGGGGACATCAGTATACAACATCCGCGCCTTGGGTTCGGAGTACGTACCCAGGGGGCACTTGCGGCAACTCGAACGACAACTGTCCATTAGCGGTTGGGACTGTCTATCCATCAGCCCCTATTCTCAACATGGTATGTAAGCACGCACCATTGTTCCCGACAGCGAGCTGGCCGCCGTATGGGCCCAAGTTCTGGTTTGGCCTGGCGAGCTCGACGGTGAATGTCGAGGGGTCACCAGCAACGGACGTCCAAGTGATCTGCGAATAGTCAGTGCTTTGTTGACGTGATCGAGATCATAAGACACACCTGTACGGTGGTGTTCCCTATCCAGGGCGTGCCGGCATTGGGACTGGTGATAGTGAGCGCAGAGACGAGCTGGCCAAAGGCGAGAACAGCGAGCAGAGCGAAAAGCTGCATCATTTCTTTTGACTAGAAGGGACGAGAGAGAGAGGTGGTCGTAAAAGTCGTGAGACGAGTGTCCAGCAAAGCGAGCAGCCCGATGGATCTTATAAAGTGTGTCAGGCGAGTGCCAGCTGAAGAAGGGAATGTATAGGGAATGTGAATCAGACCACTCACCCAACCGCCGTGCACACCGTGTCATCCGACGGCTGCCAGCGGGATTGGCATGCCCCGAACCGCACCCCCACTGGCTTCGGACAGGCATGTAATCCAGTACAGACTATTGGAAAACCTCTGATCGGGGGGATGTTCGCTCTGCGCAGGTTGCCAGAATCCGTTCATCCGGATCGGGTTACATGGTTCTTACGTAACCCCTGGGAAAGAGGCGTAAACTGCTCGAGGAGGGGGGTGATGCAGCGCTGTTGACCTCGAGCTCGACATGGGGAGAACGGCTGTGAGCGGCCAGCAGAGGGAAGAGGTAAAGGCGAGGACGACGGAGATACCCTTATCCCTGCCGAAGGGTACCGTATCGCGTCCCTCGTTCGACCATCTTCTAGATTTGCTGCGCCCGGAATTCACGCATCTCATGCTACAGCCAGCGAAATGGAAGTGCACAAAAGTAAACAGATATGTAATTGATTGCATCCTATGCAGCCTGTTCCATGCCAACCCAGATTTTCCTTTTCTCGTTCGCTCATCGATCTCTCCATCCCATCAACCCGCGTGTCGTCACATGCAAAGCCCCTCATAGTGTCAAATCCTGCTCAAGCACAATCCTATACCTGACCTTGCCGTCCTTGACAGCCTTGACCGCCTTGCCACAGTCCTTCATCGGCATCTTCTGTATCCACGGTTTGAGTCCCTTGTCCGCCGCGAGCTTCAGCATCTGGTTCATCTCCTCGTGATTCCCCAAATGGCTGCCTGACAGCCTGCACCCGTTCGGGAGGAGGTTGAATGCCGTCAGAGCGGGGAGGTTGCCCTCCGGCAGACCGACCATGATGAATATGCCCGCAACGTCAAGGATCGTCAGATACTCTCCGATCGGGAATCCGGCCGAAACGTTCAATGCACAGATGACAATGTCGAATTCGCGTGCAAACTCCTTCTCGAACCCTGGCACGGAGGAGATCACTAATCGGTCCGCACCCATCTTGAGTACGTCCTCCTTCTTGTCCAGAGAGCGGGAGAAGGCTGTCACTTGCGCTCCGAGAGCGTGGGCGAAGATAATCGCGTAATGCCCGAGCCCACCGATCCCGCATACAGCAACTTTCTTCCCCGGGCCGCAGCCGTTCCGCACCAAGGGGGAGAAGACGGTCAGACCGGCGCAGAGCATGGAGGCTGCGTCTTCGGAGGCAAGTCCGTCGGGGATGTGGAAGGTGAAGAGCTTGTTGGCACGGATGGCGAGGGAATATCCACCCATTGTCTTTGTCCCGTCTGGGTATTCGGCGCCCTACCTACAAGTCAGCACATTCTCGTCAATCAAAGGATTACCAGCGTACGTAGGTGTCAATCATGGTCGGGCAGTAGTTCTCATTGTGGTTCTTACACGCCTTGCAAGTGTAGCAGCTCGCGATCTGGGCGCCAACGCCAACCCTGTCCCCAAGCTTGATCTCGGTGACGTTCTTCCCGACGCGAGTGGCAATCCCAACAATCTCGTGCCCAACAACGAGAGGGGGTGTGATCGCACCCCATCCAGCAGTGATCGTGTGCACGTCCGAGCCGCACACGCCGCAGTGGGTGATGGCGACCTCGACGTCGTCCTCCGTGAACTGCTTAGGCTTGTAGTTCATGACGGTGAAGTCCGTCCAGTTCTTTGTGTCGGTCACTGCATACCCCTTGAATGCATCGTCAGCAAATGGAGCAGGAGCCATGATCCCTCGAGTTCTCTGTTTCTTAGGAGGAGGGTCGTTAGGTGAAGGAGGGGGGCGTTTATCTGCCATTTGAAATTCCGATATCCAAGGGAATTTATACCGGTGATGTTGTAAGGGGCAAAGGACTGAATTGGCCAGGTGTGCGATAGCAAATTTGATAGCTGGACAAATGTTAGGGTGCCGAACGCCCCTTGTGGGTACTTCTTTGCTCAAGGACTCATTACAGGCTGGCAGCGGCTCAACAAGACTCCTCCATCTCCACCATCTACACGGCGGATCTTCGGTCCGAACTCAACCGGCCCGTTCTGATCCCGTTCAAGTTGACCCTGTGCCTCCGCCATCCAGCACAACACTACAGTTTTTTTTCCCTTAGGCACCCCCTGCACTCTTCGCCATTCCTTTTCCATCTCGTCGCCACGTAGGAATCACAATTTACGCCAAGTTCTATTCCTGCTTCACCCGTTCGTCCGATCGCCGCTCGCCGCACTCATTCCTCCACTTCTCCGTCCCCGTCTCGATCGTCCCACAGTGGACACGAACGAGCCCCTCTGTTGCTTCATCTAGGACGCGTAAAGGGAACAAACCCAAAAGCGCGTCACGGGACCTGCAGTCCATCCAGCGGGAGTGCCTTGCACATCCAATGGTACGCCTATGAGTACATGGAATGGACAACTCTCGACCAATGTTATTTATTCATTTTTCTTTTATTGTCATTAACATCAACTTCCGTTCTTCACTGCCTAGCGACTTCCGCGATTTGTTTGCGTCAACAGCAAGGCACAGAGAGTGCGCCCCCTCATTTATCCTTCAAGGGTCTACTAACACCTCACGTGCCTTCAAGCTCCCATCCAAGTTTCTCCAACACTTCCACCGTTCATTCCTTCTCCCCTTTCCTCTCCCCTTCCTCTCCCCCTACCGCCATGTGCACCCTCCGTTCCCTTCCCCTCGCGCTCTTAGCCCTTCTTCCCCTCGTCCTCGCCTCACAATCCTGTACATACGACGGCCCCGTCCCCTCCTTCTCCGACGAATGCATGCTCGGCACCAACCCGATGTGCATCAATCATCAATGCATGTACGAATTCTGCGATCAAGGGAGTTTTGCGGAGGTCGCTTTCCCCCCTGCGGAACTGTTTGACGACAGCCCCACGTACTTCTATTGTCGTGCGTCTTGAGGTGGCTGGTACATCTGCAGCCGCTGACAAGCTACAGATAATTGCCCTGGGGAAGGACAAACAGCCGACGATCAGGACAGCAATTCTTCGGGAATAGGAGAGTGCTACGTGCCGTGTGGACCTGTACGTGTTGTGACGCGTCGAATTACCATGTCCTGATGAGAACAGGTAAAATGCTATGTACCATCATTAGGCGGCACGAACCCAGGGGCATACCAGACTGGAGCGGGGGTGTGCGTGAACCCACTCAAGGGGATATGTGAAGAGATGTGCGACGTTGCTGGGTTTGTCCTCTTCTCTTCTGGGGGTGATCTAGCGTTGACGCGTCCAACAGGCATATTCCAATACCAGACGCGTACTCGCTCAACAACACTTGTATCCTCGCCCTCGAAGACCACACGTTTTTCAAGCGCGAGGAGACAGTGTCCATCAGAGAGCTAGACGCCGAGCAGCGCGCAGAGCTCGCCCTGCAGCATCGCGAGTCCAGCACTCGGAAACGTCGGCGCTACGCAAAGCTAGACTCTGCGAGTTTGTTAGAGCGACGCAGAAGGGAAGTGCGGTGATGGAGGGAGTAACGAAAGGAGGGAGATTCTTCCAACAGACTGGGCCAGTGTAAAATGACCAACGCAATGTATTCCTAGCCTCGTTGCAATTCAGCCAACTTGATTCCCTTCTGGACCACGTACTTGGCGATACTGTGGCATGTGGCAAGGCATCGTGATTTCATATGTTCATCATATTGCGTAGCACATACGAAACATACATGATCACACTCCCTCCTGCACCACGAGTCCTCAGCCTCAAGCCTTCAGGCCGAAAGACTTCGCCTTCTTCCCCCTGATCTCCCTCGCTGGGAACTCCTTCTTCGACTTCTGCGCCTCGAGCAGGGCAGAAGCACGGGCCAGGGCAGCCTAAAATCCAATGCATTAGCACGCCTTTTCCTCCTTAGACAGGTATTGAGAACCACGCACCTTACGCAGATCCGGCCTATAACCGCTCGCAATCTTCTTGCTCACGACACCTGCGACCCTCCTTCCTCCCGACCGGCTCCTGACCCTCTCCGTCTTCACAGCCTTCTTGTTGGCCGAAATCGGCGCGCTGGCGTCCCGCGTCTTAATGACAATCTGCCCCTTCTCTTCCGCAATATCGAGCACTTTGTTGTTGGCAATACCGGAGTACTTGCCAGAGTGCAGGTTGCGCAAGTTGCCTGCCTCAGTGCTGAATACCGGACCCTCCGGAACGCGCTTAACGATGAAGGAGTTCCATTTCTGCACATGGGTCTGTTAGCCTGGGCAATTCCTTGAGTGGTGGGTACTGACGCGGATAAGGAGCCACTCGAGATCGGCGGACATTTTGGGCGATGGGCTTGGGTGTTGGACGGCGTGCGTTGTTGTGGGCCGTTCACTCTCAAGGGTCCTCATTGAGGGACGGGCACAATTATTGGAACTGTACAGTTGTGGCTGCATCGATGTAGGGCGAATAATTCTCGATTCCACAACGTCATCCCAATGCGCAATATATACATATACTATTGGAGTTAGAGACATGAATCCAAGGATGAGTGTGAAGCAAGAATTAATGAAGAGGTAATCATGACGGGGAATCGACGGGTTACACTAAGGCTACGGAGATAGGACCATCGGCTGTCCGTTCTAGGATCGCTCAGTCAAAACCGGGGGAATTGTTAAAAGGGGAACAGGATGATATCGCCAGCGATAGGGAGCACTGGGTGTGGGGTGAGATGAGAGGGTGTTCTTGAAAGTTGCTTAATGGGCTCAAACCCTACGAGCCCGGGGAGGAGGGGACGGAGCAGGAGCGCGTTTCTCAGCACCTTCAGCATAGGGGCCAATGGGACCCTCGGGACGGGGGGAACGGCGACGCTCGGAGGGGCCGGGGGCGCGGGCAGATACCTGACGGCGGTCGACCGTGGCATCGGCACGGGCGTAGGGCCCAACCTGACCTTCGACAGGAGAGGCTTCGCGACGACGGGCAGAGGGTGCTGGGGCACGAGCGGACGGCCGGGGAGAGCGCTTCTCAAGATCATCAGCGTAGGGGCCAGCCGGGATGTCCCTCTTCTCCTCGCGACGGCGCGCAGAGCGTCCGGGGGCGCGGGCAGATACTTGACGGCGATCGACGGTGGCGTCCGCGCCAGCGTAAGGGCCAACCTGGCCCTCAACAGGAGTGGCCTCGCGACGACGAGCAGAAGGTGCCGGGGCGCGGGCGGAAGGGCGGGGCGAGCGCTTCTCCACGTCGTCGATGTAAGGACCAACCTGGGCATCTCGCTTGACAACCTCACGCCTCCGGGCAGAAGGACCGGGAGCGCGAGCAGAGACCTGGCGGCGATCCACAGTGGCGTCAGCGCGGGCGTAAGGACCAGTCTGGCCCTCAACCGGAGTGGCCTCACGACGACGGGCCGAGGGTGCGGGTGCACGGGCAGATGGGCGTGGGGAACGCTTCTCGGCATCATCGGCGTAAGGACCAGCGGGGGCATCACGCTTGTTGGCATCGCGGCGCCGGGCTGAAGGTGCGGGGGCACGTGCAGATACCTGGCGCCGGTCGACGGTTGAATCTGCGCGGGCGTAGGGACCAACTTGACCTTGCACGGGGGTAGGATCACGGCGGCGGGCGGAAGCCTGGGGTGCACGGGCCTTTACGCCAGCGCCAACAACAATGGGACCAGCGTTCACGTCCGCCGCAAGGCCGCGGGTGATCGGCGCGTGGACGCTGACATTTGCATCAAGATCGATGCCTGCGATATCTCTGACCATGGCGTCGACTTGGCGCTTGGGGCCGAGTTTTCCGATGAGACTTTCGACCCACGGAGTCACATCGTCCACAATGCCGTCCACGGCGTCTACACCCGTTGAGTGAGCCGAGCCAATCAATTTGTGGGACAACGTACCGCAGGGGGTCATAACTATCCCATCGACCACGGTTTCACCGCTCAAATTGGCGACGTCTTTGCACGCCGTGTACAGGCATCTCTGGAGGGTGCAGATTGGGTCCAAGCCAAGGGTGCAAGCATCGGCAGATGAACAGCTCTGAGCTACAGCCGAACCAAAGAGAGAAAGGAGCGTGGTGAGTGTGACTGCTGAGCGGCGGTACACCATGTTGACTGATTAGCGCGGGAAAAGAAAGTGCGAGGATCCACCCTGCACCCTGCGCTAACACTTTTATATCTCAAAGGCAGGTCACCTCCCACGATCCCCATCTAATCACAACAAACATAGAGCACCAGGATGATATCGAGCCGTATACCAGCCATCAGTGAGAACATGCTTAGAAAACTCCCAACAAGTTTGTTGCAAAGGACGGTCATTGCAGCCAGGCGCGGAGTCACAATGGACAATGGATGGTTTATCTAACATCAACCCTGGCGGAAGTATGCTTACATTGCTTCCGCTTCACGTGTTAGCTCTTCACAAGCACCACAACTGCGGTCCAATGGCGTATGCATTCCCCACCATCATCATGTAAATATTTACTTGCACTAAGGGCTAATCCTCGTTTAAGCACCCATATCATCCCCCGGTCCCTATCCGAGACTCTTTGTCTCCTCAGGGCCAACTGGGAGCGAGCATCGAATCTTTCTTCGAACCAACCGCACCTGACATGTAGCTTCGCATCGACCACATCACGGACACTCATACGTCACGAGGATCATGCTGTATATCCTCGTTTGCGGTCGCACCCGGCGATTCGCTCTGATTCGCTTTGTTTGACCGACCAATGGCTGACCCGTCGAGTGGTTTTTGTCTTGCAAGCGTGCTTGTCCTTTGGGGAGGAGATCTCTGGCGGCACGGATTCATGAGCTCGATATGTTCCGACTAGAAGGTGATTGTGGTTGGTATTGGGAAGGAATTTGAACATTGCCTGTTTGGGCTCCTGTGTCATAAACTGCAAGGATTGGTCCCTCAATTTTGCCACATCCTCCGCACAGTCTGCTCTCTGCTTCCCGTTCCAGCGGCGCACGGTGGACCAGGCACTTCGTGTCTTTGTGCCTCAAAAAGCAGGTAGGCAAGGACGGACCACGCTGACAAACATGTGGCGAGACATGAACGCTTCAAAGATTAGCTACAGACGCCTTGTGTGCCTACCGCGTCTCATCACAATATACATGTTAAACCAAGATAGTGCTCTCCATGGATTTTTCCACTCATCCACTCCTGGAATTGTGCGCCAAACCTCTGCTCACGGCTTCTTGTTCATACCACTGCCTCCCAATTGATGAAGATGTGATGGATTAGAACAAGGGATGATTAATACCCGTGTACAGTATGTAAGTAAAAACCTTATAACAGCTCTTTGCTCCTTCTATTAAGACCCCTCACTAGTTTCCACAGTTAATCCGACCATACCAGGCAAGTTACAATTACAAGATTACTGTATACGACTAGATGGTATGGGTTGATTACTGGGATCCACGAGAGCTCAGGCCGACACGACTGTGCTTGGGTGTAGGTTCTTTTGGCATGCCTCCTACGGTGCCCGAAGGTCGTAGTACACTCTGGAAGAGAGCTGGTCAGCATCGATCAACACGCAAATCGAGAGATGATGCGCACGCTCTCGGGCAAATACGGAGCGTTAGGTGGCTGAACCGCGCTCTGGAAGCCGTACGTGTTACGAGGTGCGGCGATCTCTGAATACAGAGTAAGCAAGAGAAAAGTGTGTTCAGCAACGACGCGCCGATTTCATCATGCTCGTCCTTTGGCCCATCGAAGCAAGAGCAAACCGCGCCCATGGCGATTCAACTTCTTTCCGGACCACGGCTGTCAACGAGACACACGCAGGACGACGTTGTCGAGAGAGGCGAGAAGGGCAGCAAAGTCAACCAGCCAGCCTCCTTTCGGCAGCGAAAACCCGATGCTGGTAGCCAGGGGAAGAATTTGGGGCAGCGCAGAGTCGATCAGCTGAGGCTATTTAGCTCTGCCGTGCGGGCGGCGAAAGTCGACAAAAGCGTGAACAGGCCACCTTAATGGCGGCGGAAGAGGAGTGGCAATTGAGCCATTGCAAGCCAGCCGGGACCTTGTTAGCTTTTCACTTCTACTTGCCCTCAATCAGACATCACCGGAGCGGAGTGGGGTCCGTGCCTTGACGGAGAAGGGGCATGTGATGACATGACGTGCGCACACAAGCCGATAAGGCACTGAATGCTGTCAATTACAGCGAGAAGCATAAGACGCGATGCAGAAGCCAGTCAGCACTCTCACGTCATATAATGTACAAATGTGCCAGGAAGCGGCGGACGTTGCGAGGCTCTTAAACTTGAGGAATGAAACAGAGACTAAGGCGGGCCGGAGAGCAGAAGGTTTCAGCTAAATCTGTGCTTCCGTTGCCGACCTCACACCGGAATGACATAATAAAAATCGTACGCCTCATGTACGCCGTGAGCCCCCCTGGGGATCAGTTCGGCGATATAGAACGGAGGAAGTGTTAATTAGCACAGGGATACATGTCGTCCACATCATGATATAAAGAGAACAGATCGAGAGACTTCATCACGCTAATCCAAACCCATCTCTGGCCCTTCAAGTTCAGGCGCTTCAAGCTCACGTTCAATTTCCTTTATGAAATCGCGATCTGCATTGCCGTGTTGATGTTCGTGCTTGTGATCAGGTTTGTGCGCCTCTTCATGCTCATGGTCGTGCAGCTGAGCATGCTTGTGACCATGTTTGTGGTGATGATGGTGGGGCCTGTGGTGGTGATGGTGGTGGTGATGATGATGGTGATGGTGCTTGAAATGATGACCATGCTTGTGGCCCTCAACGCTGACCACGTGTGAAAAGCTCGCGAAGAAGTGCTCCATATCAAACACGGTCTGCCTGAGGCTCTCGAGTTCTCGTTCCATTTTCTTGATCCGGTGTTCCAAGCTGTGGTGATGGTTCGCATGCTTGTGACCGTTAATGGGGTGATGTCCAAGGCGGCCCTCTTGCTCATGAGGGAAGAACGACGTCTGATGAACGGGCTTGATTTCGTAGTCTTGTTTACGGGGTTCGATAGCACCAGCTGCGAATGCTGGTGCAAGAAGACCCAGTACGACGGCGACTTTGCAGAAGGACGGCATTATTGTGCTTGATTAACGTATGGGGTGGGGGTTGGGGGGCGGACTGTATGCATAATCAGCCAGGGAAGATATCAGCTTTGGTACATGTACGCACCGTCCGGCGTCTAGCAAGTGTGCGAAGTAAAGGGTTCTTTGTAAGTGGGGGGGGCAGAGACCAGCTGTTGATGGGCCTCTGTGGGTCCACAGCGCTCTCCTTATATCAATCCTGGACCCGACCGAGTAGTACATGATGAAACGTGTAAGGCAGCCATCGCCAGTCCAGGCATGTAATAGCGAGTTATTTCCGGCCACTATTATAGCACAGGTAGACCGAGTATAAAATGCAGGCGGTGCGCCATGACTAAATATTGATATTCTGAGGCACAGTTGAACGTCGGAGAGGAAGCGTTTCAGCGATGTGCTTCAGAGGAAGGCAGGAAGAGCAGTGTTGGCACGTGATGAGAGATATATACTCAGCCACAGTTAGAGCAGCGCATTCGCTTCCGGATATGCGGTCTCTATGTTCGGTGTTATATCTCCGATATTGTGCCTCGCTGGACCGTAACCTGTTATTCACCTCATTGTATCTTCTGGATGCCGTGTATCTAACCTTCGGCACTCAACATGGTCTTCATCTCTCTCTCATCAGAAGAGGGGAAAGAATCTGCATTCAAAGTCTTGCCCGTTGCACAGCAGGTAGTCTCGACTTCCACAGGTGGGGTGACCATCACTGCACCCCCGGAGACCGACTGGTGGCATACCCCAGAGCCTGACCCGGCAGATCGGCGCACAGGAACGCTCTTTGGGTACACTATTGACGGCGCGAAAGACTGGGTGTGTGGGGTGTGGATCAATGGAGAGTGGGGAACGCAGTATGATCAGGGGTGTTTGATGGTTATCGCTGGGGATGAGGGTGATAAGCTGGACTTTGACTGGCTCAAGACGGGAATTGAGTTGGATGGAGGGAAGGAGTGGATCGGGTGCGTAAAATGTAGAACGGGGAACGTTCATATGCTCACGTCGTGTAGATGCGTTACCGCTTCCCCGTGGTCCGACTGGTCCATCGCGCTCTCACCGCACTCCACCTCGACGCTTAACTCGGGCTACTACTCCCTCTACATCCAAATCACACGCACGGGAAGCACACTCACCGTGCGGCACACGTTCGCCCAGCCCACAGAGTGGACGAATATCCCGTCTGACGGGGAGCTGCTCATGATGCGCGAGGTGAAGGCGTTCAACGTGGATGCTGCGGGAAAGCAGAAGACGAGCAATGGTGGCAAGTGGAGAATCGGCCCCATGGTGTGTGGGCCGAAGAATGAAAAAGGGACAAAGGCAAACTTTGAGGGGTTCTCATTCAAGTATTTGTAGATCATCGTTCTGGACAAATGGTTGACTATATCATTCCGACATTCAGAGCTCCGAGCACACGCTTGTTCAACTTGCCGTCGTACTGGCCAATGCAGACCTGCAGTGTATCAGCGAGTACAAATCAAATGCAATATCATACCTACTCCACCCGGATCAAGTGCAAACATCTTGCCGTCCTTGAGTGGAAGCCCAGGCCATCTTGCCAACAGGCACCTGGAGAAATTCCCGTGACTGATGATGAGTACATCTCCGCCTTCGTCCTTCTCTTTCCTGTGCGGGTCCTCGTACCACTGCCGGTGTACCTTCTTGACCAAGCCGACCACCTCGTCTGCGCGCTTCGTCACGTCCTCTGGGCTCTCGCCGCCCTCGCACCCGTCCGTCCAGAGATCCCAGCCTTCTTCCCCGCTTGGCAACCCCTTAGCAGCACGGGAAGCAGCAGCTTGCCAGGCATAGAACCCCTCGTATTCTCCATATGTCCACTCGTGACATCGTTCCTCCACGTTAAGCACGGGCTTGACGGGAGAGGAAGAGAATAGCAGTTCGAAAGTGTGCCGTGCTCGCAGGCGAGGGGAGATGAACACTTTGGATATAAGCCCAGGATCGATCAGCTCTGATCTCGCCTCAGTAACATTCGTCATGTGAGTGGATCGCGTACTTCCAGGACCGACAGCCTTTTCCCCCAGCTCGCGAACCATCGACACCCCAGGCGGCGTCAGCTCCAGCTCAGTGATCCCCGTCTGTCAACCTTTGTCAAACTCGCCGATACTGTGGCTCTCGAGTGCCTACATATTGCCCTATGGAACATCAGGATCACCACAGAAAACAGAGAAGGCAGGCTCACCAGTAAGGCTCCTAATCAGCCGAACGATTTATCAACCTCCTTCTTTCCAGGCCAAGCGGGCTGGCAGCACTCACCACTCAGTCTCCCCATGTCGGAGGACGAACACCTTTGGCAAACGCTTGGGCGGCATCGCAAGGTTTGGGTAGATTTGAGAGACTTGTGCCAGATAGAGGACTACATCGGCAGTGGTGTTTCAGGCGTTGGAAATGGCGGAGTGAATGGGTTTCCCGATGTCCCAGCCTGGGGACGCCGTGTTTACCGGGACTGGCCGATGGGCGATGGAGGTGGTCCGTGGTCCGCGGTTCGTGCAAGTGTACGACCATAGAAAAAACACGGATCGTTGAACAAAAAAGCGTGGAAAATTGGCAGCACAGAGCCGTACAGGTGGGGATGATTGGAACATGTTGTCCGATTTTTTCTGATTGTTTGTCGGTTTTGGTTTTGGATGCAAGATGTGAGGATGTTACTTCGAGCTCAACGTCAGCTAGGGCTCCGACAAGGGAGTTACCGGCGCATCGCCCTTCCAAGTGGACTTAAGATTCTAGTAGCTGCAGTCATGGGGGCGAGAATGCTTGGGGCACGTTGGCCGATTTTTTCTGATTTTTTTTGGGTTGTCGATACGTGATGTGGGCCTGTTAACGTTGTCAGACCTCGACCCTCGATGGGGCTCCAATGAGTCAAGTTATCAGTGCCCTGTCATGCGCCGTAGCATACAAAGAGCAGTAAGAGTCTCCTCGTTGCGGGCAGCTTGTTTCCAATGACAGAGGAAGAGTGAATTACCAAGTATCAAGGTTGAGGTCGTTGTCAACAAGTAATCGCGCGGTGTAGGAATTGTCCGTTATAATTGATGTTCTACAACGCTTCTTTATTTCTAACCTCTAAAGAACCCCTCTATACTCCCTCAGTCTAGCTCTATATTTCGAGATGGATCCCTTCTACTGTTGTGGTTCGGTCTATCTCTGTCGAGAGAGGACTAAATGAGCCCAAGGTTCATCGCCCCCAGCGACGTCTTGTCTAACCCATGATAATACTGGCCGACACAGACCTACCAATATGATCAGCGCCTCTCCTTCCTTCCAAAAACAAGAAAGTCATACCCCTCCCGTATCAAGGACGAACAGCTGGCCCGCCTTGAGGGGCAAACCAAGCCACCTAGTCAAAAAGCAGCGAGAAAAATGCCCATGACTAACGATGAGCACGTCTCCGCCTACATCCCCTTCCTCCCTCTCCGGGCTCTCATACCACGCCTTATGCGAGTCCTTGACAGCGCGCACGACCTCGTCCGCCCGGTCTGACATCTCCTGTGCGCTCTCGCCCCCCTCACACCCATCGACCCAGATGTCCCAGCCATCTTCGCCAGAAGGGATCCCCCTCTCAGCACGGGAAGCAGCGGCCTGCCAGGCATAGAAGCCCTCGTAGTCCCCGTATGTCCATTCCCGCACTCGTTGGTCTGTTGTTGCGGAGGGCTTGGAGGGGGAGGAGGAGAAGAGCAGGGCGAAGGTGCGTTGAGCACGCAGGCGGGGAGAGACGAGGGTGGTGCTGATTAGGGAGGGGTCGAGCAATTCTGGGCTTGGTTAGCATGGTGGTGCGGGCGGGGGAGGAGACGCACTCCCAGGGCCGGCAACTTTTTCACCCAGCTTGAGGATAGTAGCTTCGCCATTAGCGGTCAAGGGGAGGTCGGTAGTGCCCGTCTATTTTTGTCAGCTCGAGCAGACTTGCTCGAAGAACGGGCTTACATGCCGCCCTACATACGTCTGTCAGTAATAATACAACACGAAACGCCGGACGAACCATTCAGTGACCTTTGTGGGTGTGAGCGGGGCTAGAAGGGGATGGGAACGGACTTACCACTCAGTTTCGCCGTGCCGGACTATGTAAACCTTTGGCATACGTTTGGGAGGCATTGTATGCAGTGTAGTAAGAACAAAGAAGAGAGTGGGTGCTGGCAAGTGGTGTGGTTACATGGGATTGTTTTCCCATTTCTAGGTCTGTCTTGGAATGGGCTGCGGGTATAGAATGCATCTAAGTGTGTATGGCTTGACGTGGGGTAGTGAAACATGTACTTGTTGATTTAGTAAAATTATGTTGTTTTGGTGATTGTCTATATCTGACAATGACTGACAATCAAACGATGCCCTCCTGATTTGTGCAGAAGCATGATGGTTCGTGTGCGGGGCTGTGTAATAACATTTCGGCGGAGGGATGGAAAGAAGCGGGCCGAAAAGTACAAAGTTCCGTTTATGCGAAGAGTTGAATTCCTCTGGAATGCCGGGCCGGTGGGAAGCCACGAGCAGATGGGGCTGTTCACCTCGTGCGACTGGCAGGTGTTTGTCCTAGATTGTAGATTGTAAATGATTGCTAGCATCTTCTACTGATGTTTGTGGTGCTCGTGTGAGACCTCTATAGATACGTGTCACCCTCACATGAATTTATTGCAGCCGAAAAGGGCTCAATCACGGGGAATGCACGTGCATTGAGAATTCCGTTGGGAATACAAAGGACAAGGACCCTTAGAACGTGCCTTTTGGTGATCCCCAACCTCTTTTTGTGTGCGTGCACTGGATGGTGACGTGTGATTGGCTGATGTATTGTGTAATTTGTTATTCACCCGGATATATGGTATATTTCCATCTATGGTACTTTACGGCCTAACGCGGCGACATTCCCTTCCTTCAAGGGAAGGAACAGAAAAGAGGGGGGCGCACTGAACGTGTTCCCTTATAACATCTTCATCTATCCGTCACTCCCCGTCTTTCCTTCCCTTTCTCCTCCCCCTGCTCGTACGACCACAGCAGGTCGGACGACAATGGCTCCCTCGACGGCGACCGTCATCCTCGCTTCCACCACAGCCCTCCTCGCTGCGTTATACGCATATACCCCTCTGGGTGATCACTTCGAGGCTCGCTACCTCCTCCCAATCCCCCTTATCCTCCTCCTCCTCTCCTTCACAAGGTTCAAGTCTTCCCTAAGCGCACTATGGCTCTTCTTCTACAACTGCTTCCTCCGTCCACTCGGTCTGCACTCGGACCAGCAGTCACGTCTTGACTCGTTCTACACAGGTCAGGCGTCAGTCTACGATGCAACTAGGAACGGTCTACTCAGGGGAAGGCGCACCATGCTCAAGCTCTCTCTTGCACACCTCAAGCTCCTTCGCGCACGCGCTGCTGATCCCTCAAAGCGTCTTGTTTGGGTCGACATTGGTGGAGGCACAGGCTGGAACGTCGAGGTCATGTCGCAGTATGTGGATCTCGCAATCTTCGATGCCATCTACATCATCGATTTGTGCGAACCTTTGCTCAAGGTGGCCCGCAACCGGGCAGAGAAGAACGGCTGGGCAAACGTCCATTGTCTCCTGCAGGATGCCTCGGGATTCGTCCTCCCAGAGTGGAAGCAGCTGCGCACAGACCCAAGGGGAAGCGTGTCTTTCATCACGCTCTCCTACTCGCTCTCCATGATCCCGTCCTACTTCACCCTCTTGGACAGGATCGGCGAGGTCTTGGACCCGGATGATGGGCTGCTCGCTGTGGTGGACTTTTATACCGCTGCCAAGGAGTCGTCGGAGCACGAGAAGGCTATCGGTGGAGGGGGGAAGAAAGTCGGCTGGTTCTCCCGCTGGTTCTGGCAGGTAAGCTAGACCCGAACTGTCTGCGAGTGAAAGCTGATCATTCCCAGATCTGGTTCGACTTTGATCATGTCTCCCTCAGCCCGGGACGCCGCGACTACTTGGAGTACCGCTTCGGGACTATCAAATCGTACAACGGCAGGAACAAATTCATTGTGCCTTTCATTGTCCGCATGTGAGCCAGCATACATCCACGTTCTCGGAATAACGCACTTACACTTCGCAGCCCGTACTACATCTGGCTCGGCACGCCTCGCTCTCGTTCCACCGAACGTAACAGGCACGCCTTCGAGGTCGAAGGAGGCAACACCGTCGGCAATCTCTCCGCTCCCGGGACCCCCCTCTTCCCCACTCGCCCGACAACGCCTCTGTCGCTCATTGGTAAGGAGGCGGGTGAGAACGACGAGGAAGTCGAGGAGCTCAGCTTGGACATCTCCCGCGCCGTCGAGAAGGATGAGATGCACTCTGTTCTGGGAGAGCGTAAGGAGGGCGAGAAGGAGGGAAGGAAACATGTCGTCCTCAATGTTATGCCTCCTCTCAGCTCGTTCCACTACCAGATCATGCACGTGGGTCGCTTTCCCCTAAACATATGCGTCTTCTCACGACTCCTCAGCCATGGAGGTTGCCCTACTACGAGGCCAAGATCCACAAGGCGTTCCGCACCTTCGTTTATTCGTTCACCTGGGAAGATCCGGAAGAGGATATGCGTCACCTCCAGCTCTCGAGCGAGGACTCGATGTTTGTCATCACCTCTGCTGGTGATAACGCGCTGCACTATGCCATCGCCGCCCAGCCCAAGCGTATCCACTGTGTTGACATGAACCCGTGGTATGTTGCTCTCCAAAATAATTTGCCCGCTGCTGACCAGTATATAGCCAAGGCCATCTCATGGAGCTCAAGCTCGCCGCTACCAGGTCCCTCGATTTCGGCGACTTCTTCAAGCTCTTCGGCGACGGCAAGCACCCCGAGTTCCGTCAACTGCTTGACTCGACCATCTCTCCCTACCTCTCGTCCAACGCCTACACATTCTGGCGCATCAATTCCAAGGCATACCATTCCTCCTTCTACCGCCGGGGCTACTCTGGCTGGGCTCTGCGCCTCGCCAAGTGGGTGTTCTCCGTTGCGGGCGTAAGCGACTTTGCAGAACAGATGTGCGAATGCGACACCGTCGAGGAGCAGGACAAGATCTGGCGCGAAAAGCTCCGCCCCGTCATCCTCAACCGTACATTTGTGGATCTCGTCCTTAGCAACCCCGTCTTCTGCTGGAACGCGCTCGGCGTACCCATGAACCAGAGGGCGATGTTCCTTAATGAAGGTACGGCTTTCGAATTCGTGAGGGATACCCTGGACCCGATCGCCAAGACCGCCGTGCTCAAGCATGGCGCATACCATTTCTTGCTCGTAAGCTGTCTTATTATTCGAATTGTGTTCCACGTGCTCATAGACTGTAGTGCCTCCTCGGTCACTATACCGCCGACTCGTGCCCACTTTACCTGACTCGTGCCGGCTTTGAGGCTCTCAAGGCTAACGACGGCGCTCTGATGGACGCCTTCCGTCTGCACACCGACTCGATCACCAAGTACGCCCTCATCGCCTTCTTCCCGACATTTGCTGACTCTGACTCTGCTTGACAGTGTGCTCCGTGGCCTGGCGCCCGGCTCCATCACTCGTGCGGTGATCATGGACCATTTGGATTGGTTCGACTCCGGCTCGGAGGACGCGAGGGACGAAGTGACAGCCATGTATCGTGCCCTCGCTCCGGGTGGTATGGTCTTCTGGCGCTCAGCCGCAAGACAGCCATGGTATTGTGAGATGTACGTGCTCCCCTATCAGGTACGACTGTGCCATGCTGACTTCTATCCAGGTTCAAGGAACAGGGCTTCGATCTCCTTCCTCTCGGAGTTCGGTCTGGTCCGGAGAAGTCCATCGACAGGGTAAACATGTACGCTTCCTTCTGGCGTGCGGTCAAAATCTAGAGCCAGCCCGTCTAGCGTGGCATGTCTCACCTCCCCTTCCTTCTCTCTATTTGCTCAGTCGCAAGTGGTCAATCACTTGCTCACTCACTGGTTATGGTCTGCTATCTTTATTCAAGGGACATTCGGCGCTTAATACAGTACATGTCGCTTGGATATAGGACCCAATTGAATGACATTTACGACCATGGAAAGGGCTTGTCGGCATGGTACCAGACTCTTCTGCGAATCTTGCGTATCTGCTAGCAGCGTCATTTCTTTCACAGCGTTGTCCATGAATCGCGCTTCACGGTGACCCTTTACAGCGTGTATCTGAACCCGCTCCAATAGTCTCCTTTTGCCAACTGCTGGACATTCAGAGCTGGCCCCGACTTCATGACCAGAACGCACATACCTTTGCTTCCTGTACTGTGCCAAAAGTGCCATTCGGGTTCTTAGCACCGTCACTCTGGGCTCCTATTGTCTCGTTCCTCTCTCCTCGGTCACGGGCGTCGTTTTCCCGCTTCAGCAAAAACATCATCACTGCCGTTCCGATGAAGATGAGCAGTACGTAGAGCAGTACGATGCCGTGGGACATGGTGTACCTGTGATCACTCAACATCACAAAGACACGAAAACGATCATTCTTACCAAGGTTGATATTGTGCGCGATACTGCGAGGTGTGAGTGACTTCATTGGCAACGGTAAAGGGAGAAGGCGTACAATATTGGAGGAAACAATACCGTTAAGGTTCCCGAGGCCGATGACAATACCCAGTGTAACTCCTCGCTTCAGGGAGCCCTCTACATTGTTTGAGACAAAAGCTCTGCGCTTTGTGAATCTCCATGACAATCAACGTAATGAAACACAACTGCTCACAAAGTATTGGCTTGAATGATATAGCAGGATCAACGTGGGCTATTTCATGGTTTAAAGTACACTCACGGACAAGTGGATACATGCTACACACTGTTAGCATACTAACTCGTCTCCATAGAGAAAAAGAGGGGCGCACCAGACTCCCAGATACACTCCAAAATAGGAGAGGGCCGGCGTGCGAGAAAATATCAAGATTATATAGCCAGTAGCACCTGATAATACATTAAAAGTTACTCACGTGGCCCACACGTTATCACGCACTAAGGCCCGAAAATACTCTGGTCATTGCACCAATGAGAAAAAAATCATGAGAGTTATTCAGGACGTACAGGTTAAATATTCCTTTGGTCTTCAAACGGTCTGCAGTATAGCCAACACCTAAGCACAAGATGCAGCCAAGACATACACAGGAACTGAAAGAAGATTGGCGGGAGTTGCCGTATATCCTGCAGCGAGATCAGCTTGTCGTCGCTGGACCTACGGTGCTGTCATTTACCCAATTGATTGATGATAGACGGTGTGAAGAGTGCTGAAGCGTATATGGGGACCTCACTGTGCATATTCAAATTCTGGTCACTATTGCTATGGCGGTCAACATACACGCCTGCGTAAATGATCACTGGGTGAATCCGGGGGGTTAACGGACGCTCTAGTGTAAAAGACTGTCACACACCTCCAACCCATGTTTTCCAGTCAGTGACACTATCAAAATTCTCAGACAAGAAGTTCTAAGAAGAATAGATTCACATGTACCTGTCAATGATCGAATTCAGGTTGATTTTCTCACCCGGTGCAGAGAAAGAGTCCATTTCTTGCAGTCTTTCAAGCACCAACTCCCCTAAAGAAAGTGAGAACCGTGTTGGCATAGTTCATGTCCTCTGGACGACCCACGTTCTTCTTCGGTCAGAAATTTAGCTGTCGCCGGGAAGTCCTGTACTATCCAGAACGACATGACGCCAACAATGATGGTGACAAACCCTTGGATTAGGAAGATCCATGCCTTGAGAATATTTCAATAAAATGGACCCGACGTAGCTGTGGGATCCACCCACCCATGCAGTCTTCCCCCCAACGCCATTCATATCAGAAATCGCAGCAGCAATCAGACCACCAAAGGCGCCAGAGATAGTGGCCGCACAGAAGAAGAATGCAATGCGAATTCCATACTCAGCACGCCTGTACCAGCTGTCGGGAACGCCTCGTGAGATTGCTGTCATTAGGACAAATAATATGAGAATGCATACCAGGAGAGATAATATGTAACTCCAGGGAATAAGCCTCCTTCGCAAAGCCCAAGCAGGAACCGCATGCCCATAAGACCGCCGAAGTTACTGACGAGGCCCTGCACGGTCATCATAATGCCCCAGAGCAGCATCATACAGGACAAGTAGATGCGCGGGGGCAAACGCTTCAGTAAAACGTTGCTAGGGGGCTCTATGAGCGAATATGGGACGAAGAAGATCGTCAGAGCGATGAGATACTGGTTGTCCGTGATGTGAAGGTCGACCTCCATGTTATACAACTTGGCGTTTCCGATCGACCTATCGAGAACGGTTACGATATCGGCGACACTTACAAGTATCAATGGCTCACGTTCGATCAAGAAAAGACAAGAAGAAAAGAAAGGCCAGCCAAGGGATGAGCGACCAATCTAGTTTCCTCAACAGCCTTCGTTCATCAATGTTGCTTTGAAGGACCTCTTCATGAACCTCGATTATCTTGATCAACTGCACATCCTTGGATGACTCTGCAGGACTTGGTTCTGAGTCTCCCGCCTTTACAGCGAGCGTCGGAAGCTCTGAGAGCTCGAGGTGTGGGTTATGGACCATCCAAGGGATATGAAGCTGCGTCGTCTGCTCGTTGAAGAAAGGGTGAAAGCCGGCTCAGCAAATCGGTCGTGTCAGGGGCTTCTGCGACAGATATTGGTTGCAGCATACGTCGTTATAAGGTTAAGTGGAGTTGTGCGGAACAACAAACTGGCTGATGGGACCCAACCTCTGTCGAGGATAATGCACCAGCTAATTGGAGTAAGGGACGGTATGGGTGGATGGCCTCACGTGTCAGGCTGCCGAGGTGCCAACCATTCACCCGAGCAGACTTCGGGAAGCAGAAGCTGATGGCGCTGGCGGCGTTCATCAGTGATGGCAGCACCTTGCAACCCAGCAAGGGGACGGCATAGAAGAACAACACAAGACCTACCGGGCATTTGCCCGCACCGGTCCAAGGTATTTGGCAATTTGAGATGTAAAATCCGGTGATAGGGTGTCGATCGGAGCGCATACCGTAGTCTACCAATCGGGATTGGGACCCAGAAAGTAGCATTTGCGCACGTTGACCAGTCACTGAGGCGTAAGTGGTCTCAAGACACAGGTGGGTGAACCTATCGCTCAGGTGGTGTGTGGGTTCAAGCGCCCTGTTGGGATGATGTTGGCGTGCATAGTAGTCGTTAGACGGGGCTCCATGAGGTTCGTCTCTCCATTCTGGCGTGGAGTGGCGCTCTCTCGGAACCCCTGGCGGAAGTTCTCTCCTATGTTCCGAGTCCCCAAGAGGCAGATCCAGCCCGCACATAGAACCCTCCTGACTGGGGGTTGGAGAAACAGTGCAGCCAGCAAGTCAGGTTTCGCGCAAGTTTGCCAGGCTCTGCCGGTTCAAGAACTGTAGGGCAGCAAGAAGGAAGGATCCCCAGAATAGCGATTCGAACATTTCCCCTTGTATCGGGTTGTCCGCGGGGTTGACAGAGACACAGGTACGGCTATGTTTGGGTTTACACGTTTTCGAGCAAGTCGTCGGTTCTTGTCACCGACCGGGCCGTAAGGAGGCCGATCGAACGTATGCAACCTATCTCGCCGTAGACGGAGCAGTTATTCGAAGAAAGAAGCATCATGCTGAGTAGACCAGGTCAATAGTAGTAGGTGTTGTCAGTCAGTATGTATGTATGCTTGTCGTCGACAGTGATTGTAATTTGGACCGGTCGCCGCATTCGGTTGTGGGAGCAAGAGTGTTCTGGAAGAGGTAAAGACGCGCAGAAAGAGAATGGGGACATGGTGCTCATTCACGGGGCCACAGGGGGACGGGCGCCGGCGGAGGACGGTGAACGGTAGACGAAGTGCACGTGAAAGGGACCGGAGATACGACGAGAGGCGCCGAGGGCCAAGCTACAATGGAAGCAAACGGTAGACAATGTCTCATAAAACCCTCCCCCTTTAAGAAGCGGCCACGAAAGTGCGACGGAGTGCGAATCCTGTGGGCACAATATCAACTGCGACGAAGCATATTTGTATAAGCTTACATGCTTAATCCAAATAAAGACATTCACTTCTCACTTATGTATTGTGTGACAAATACATGGAGAAGGGGAACCATATTGAGGAAGGCTGTGGGGAAGAAGATGCGTGATTGTACCCCTTCATGAATTATTAGTTCCAGGTTAATCACCAGGGATGCTTGGTCCGCCTTTAACCCATCCTCCGCCGACGGTGCATGGGGAGGGAGTAAAGGGGGAGGAAGTGAGTGATGTTTACTGTACCTTGCCAACACGACAATAGAGTCCGATTCACTCTTTTATCCTCTGTTTTTGGCCATCTTTCATCTTGTAACATCTCGGAGCTGCTTCTGTTCCACACCTATATTGCCTCTGTACTCTTGGCTTTGACTTTGGCTCTGTCTGCTTCCTCTCCCCTGCTGGTACCCTTGGCCCCCTTAACTGCCTAACTGCTCTCACGTAACACGGCGACGTCCTTATCACCCGCGCGACCCGCTTCTGCCCCGAGAATCAATTTGCCGCCGGAGCCGCGCTTCTCTTTTCACTCTTGTGCTTATGGCCCAGATCGATCCGTTCCATCCTCTCAGAGAGTCAGAGTCATTGGATGGACACCACATTACACCCTGCATATGGCAAGCCCCGCACCAGCCCTCCTCCTTGAACTCTTATTTCTCCGCTTCATCCTCAGCCTCTTCCGTACATCGTAACCGCAATAACAGTATCGGATCTTCTCCAAGTCCCACTTGGTCTCTCCCATCTACAGCTCCCGCTCTCTCCGACTCTGCCGCATCCTCCCCCGACATGTCCTATAACAGTTACTACTACTCGTCAAGAAATTTCAACGAACCTCGTACTCCTTCCCCCATAATGTCAACTTCAACGCCAGGATCACCTTACACCCACGACTCCGATCCAATGGACACCGAGTCAGTCGGCTCCCCTGGCCTTTCTCCGGCACCCAGCGTGTACAGTCTGACAGAGAGTCTTCGGGAAGCAAGCTTCAAACATGTACACGGGCGGGCAATCAATGCACATAGCGACGTTTACATGCTACCAGCTGACGACGAGGAGATAAACGTGCGTGTCCTCAACTTCACATAGCTAAACCCGGGTTCACGTCGTTTATCTTCAGCGACTGGAAACCCAGCATAATATCTTCCGTATCTTAAACGATGGGAACTACCTCGGCCCTGTGCGAGAAGTTTTGGAGGGACCGGGAAAGGCCGTGTTGGATCTCGGTACAGGTACTGGTGTTTGGGCAGTGGAGGTAGCAAGCGAGTTTCCGGCAGCGCAGGTTGTGGGAGTGGATCTCTCTCCCATACAATACCTAAGACCTCTGCCGGAGAATTGTAGGTTTGAAGGTGCGTGAATTCGTCTTGAGGTCAAACGCAAAGTCTGACGTCAAAACAGTGGACGATGTGAATTTAGGGATGGCCCATTTTCACAACCAATTTGATGTCGTTCACGCTCGGCATATCTGTTCTGGGGTACGCCTCTCCCAATCACACTCGCAACCTCCTAAATCTGGTGTAGATCAGGGACTATGCACGGTTTGCCTATGACATCGCGAACGTATTGCGCCCTGGCGGCTTAGCTTTGTTTTTTGAAGCGGAGTACTATGTGTTTGATTCAAACAAAAAGCCGATGGGCATTCGACACCCTGATCCGACCGGCAGGCAAACAGAGCACAAGGATCCCCCGGGTCTCGCAAGATTTGCAGCAGCGTTCGTCGGAGCAGTTTCAAGAAGGGGAGGGAATATCAATGTTGGTGCCCGAATGCCGGATTACTGCAAACAGTCTGGCGGGTTCAGCGAGATCGTTTACCAGGACGTGTGGATCCCTGCCACACCCTGGATGCATGGTGCGATGATCATTTAACGCACGGACATGCGACTGACACGACGTCGGTCCAGGCACCTCTTCTGAAGCCCGACGTTTGCGAATGGTCGGTCATCTCATCAGGGAAGATCTACGATCATTCCTGCATGCTGGGCGGCCTATTCTCCTAGCGGACGGCCTCTCAGAGGTTGCTGTGGGCGACCTCATCAATCAGTCAATGACAGACCTGGATGCAGCTGAAGCACCGATGTGGTTAAGAGGTTGTTATACATGGGCATGGAGAGCAACTGTATGAGCGCTTTGTATTCTTCGATTTGTTTCTGCCATTTAGCTTTGTCCTCCCATGCTGAAATGTATCCCTGTTTTGTATAAAGAGCCTTGGTGTATGTGATTTCCGGCATGCAGAAACAGTAATTGTGTTTATCAATTGCGTCACACTCCTCCACTCCGATCTCCATTGGGCAAACCCCTTCAAACATAGCACGACGATCCGATTTCTCTCCCTCAAACTGACGTGGATTCCCGGATTATTCACCGTCTCACAAGATGCGTACAACATATACATAGCGTCAACTAACTATACTTCTATTCTTACTGAACCCATCTGGAGGTATCAGCGGACAACGATTAGATAGCATGCACGATAGTGTTCAAGCGGCCAACAGCTTCGCGAGCTGGCCCGAGCGCTCCAGAGCAGCGAGATCATCAGAGCCTGCAATGCAATGGTGGTCAATATTGGTCTCCGAACACCTTTGAAACCCCGCTACTCACCTCCGATGTGCTGCTGCTTGATGAAGATATTGGGAACGGTCCTCTGCCCAGTCTTTTGGGCAAGGTAGTTTTGGATGTCCGAACCGTCATCCCTCTCGTCAAGCCTTTTCAAGCGTTTAGACTCTGTGCTCATTCGAAAAGACAGAGGCGCGCACTCATAGATTAAGGAAGGGTGCTTCGCAAGGACGCCCTTTGCGCGCTGGCAATAGGGGCAATAGGACTTGGAAAAGATGACAATTCTGTTTTCCGCAATCGCAGACTTGGTACGAAAGCGTCAGCCTTTATCGTTAATATAGCAGTCATTGTGCTCACTTCGACAAGTTGCTTGGTGGATGCCATAACTGAATGGGATCTGGAGAGAACAACGGAGTTTGTTGAGAGGAATGAGCCCATTATCGAGCTGGCCAGCGCCCTTGAAAGCATTTATACAAGGGGAAGCACGGCCACTCGCTGACAAACATCAATGGAATGACGCTATATTGCGTCCTCTGCCGGCATCTTCGCGGGAAAACTGTTAACGCCCTGGAACCGGAAATCCGTGTAACCGGATTAGGCGCCCATCGGCTCCGGTGTGAATTTGATGCTGTGGGCCAGCATTGCACTTTCGCCTTCCTTTTACTCCTCTACCTCACTCCTACTCCCTTCCCACCAGAAAATACTTGCCTTTGATTTTACACTCACTATGGCGACCTCGACGGCAACAACCACTCAGGTTATAACAAAACTGCCCTCTCTCCGCCGGGTGTCAAGCGGTTTCACCGTGGCCCGCAACTTCCATCTTGATGAGGAGACCGAGCTGCAGCACCCCCCTGCGGAAGGAATACAGTCGGATCCATACTCATTCAGACGTGCTATCAAGACGGAAGGGGAGCTGCAGGAACTGCGCAGAAAGAAGGGAGGCAGGATGCTCGCCCGATACCATGCTCGCCAGAATGAGGTATAATATTGACCCTCGTCCAATGCATTTCCCTTTCACTCAACCGTGTAATCAGCTCATTCACAGCTTGCTGACCCCGATGGATGAAATCACGCTGCAGGCCAAAGAGGCGGAGGAGGAATCCAAGACACCTGTTAGTCCCTTTCGGACTCTACCCAATGAGCGCTAATGTAGTACCCACTCTCAGGTTAAGATCGCTGTGTGGGCAAGTTTGCTGGCGAACTTCTGTCTTTCTGTACTCCAAAGTGGGTGGTCTATTAGATCCTGTGAGCCGCAATTGACATGGGGGCAGTCTACGCGGCCGCTTCCTCAGCATCCCTCTCCCTACTTGCGACAGGCATCGACTCTGTTTTCGATATCGGAAGCAACGTCATGCTGTTTTGGCTGCATAAAAAGGCGGAGAAGTTGGATGTGAATAAATGGCCTGTGGGTGGAAACCGTCTAGAGACGATTGGTAATGTTATCTATGGTGTGCTTGTAGCATTCTAGCTTCCTTCCTAGGCTGATGGCTTTAACAGGATCTTTGTGAGTGCCTTTGCCTTTGGATCAAACTACCACCTCAGATGTTTCATCAAGAATGGCAGCGGTGAATTTGGTCGTCATTGTCGAATCCGTACGAACTCTCATCGACCACAACAATAGCGATGACACCAACTCTTTCCACTTACCTTCAATCATCGCTGTTGCAGCCGCACTCGGCACGTATCTGTCCTCCTGTGCCTGTCGCACTATCTTAATCGGAAATATTGCAGGTGTGAAGGTGCTACTCTTCATCTACTGCTTTTCCGTGCGAAAAGCATCCAGTCAGGTTGAAATTCTGTGGGAGGATCATCGTAATGACTTGTTCGTCTATAGTTTCGGTGAGCTTGTTGTGAAGCTTGATTGCGAGCCTAACTCAAAGTCAATACCTTAGGTATTCTCATGTCTGCGGGAGGTAGCAAGCTCAGGTGGTGTGCGTGTTTTCTGTGTTTGCTTCCACTCGGACGCTGACAATGCAACACAGGGTTGGATCCTGCCGGTGGATTTATTGTGCGATATGACTGCTTTGTGTGCCAGATATCTCATTCAATGGTCAACAGATTGCTTTAGGTGTGATTTTGGCATGGACTCGTACATCTTACAAGGAATATGCCTTATTGGCGGGCAAAGCCGCCCCCCATGATTTTGTTCAGCTCGTCATCTATAAGGCCCTGACATTCAGCCATGAAATCGACAAGATAGACACTGTGCGAGCATACCACGTGCGTTCGTTTCTTAGCAGGAAGTGTATGTTCTGAGCTATAATAGAGTGGACCCGTCAGTGTCTCTATCTGACCTTCATCGAGACCAATTGTATCTCAAATCATAACAGGAATATTTTGTTGAGGTCGACATTGTCATGCCCGGTGACACGCCTCTGTGGAAGTCCCACGACATTAGCCAGGCCATGCAAGACAAGATTGAAGCACTCCCGGGGGTCGAAAGATGCTTTGTTCATGTGGATCATGAAACAACACACAAACCGGTTAGTAGGTTGATTACAAAGCGACGCACTTGCTGAAAGATGCTTGTAGGAACATCGCAAAGTGGAATGAAAGGAACCAAGATCTTGAGGATCGGCTCCCACTAGTAGCTACATTGATAGACTTGCATGACTCTATGTTACACTTGCGGTTGATGGGAAGGGATAACATGCCAATGATGTACCTAAAGTAGTGCTCTACCAGACTCACCTTCCTCCACCAATCGCGCCCAATCAGACCTCCATTGATCGATGTCTCTTCGCAGCTTCTTGTCATCCAACATGTGGCGAATCCACGCCAGCATGGAGTTCTCGTCCTGCGGTACGAAGTAGGATGACAACAAGGAAAGGATCGTTTCAAAGGTAGCGTCTGGCGATGCGAGGTGGTCTGTTCCTGCGTTAGCCAACATGAAGCCACACTTTGTGCTGCAGCTACCCTTCAACACCCAGATGATGCTGACGGCCATGGCTACCATCAGATCGCGACCCTCGTAGAAAAATGCATCCCAAATACGAATTTGAGTTTGAAATGGGACGACATTGGCAAAAAGCGTAATGTACCACTTAGTAGCATAAGAAGTTGAAGATATCGTGTTCTTTCGCTATCCGAACTTTCAGCCGGTCACATAACAAAAAGTCAAATCGACTCACGAACGACGCATAAACGTCAGGCAACATCGTTTCCATGATCCGTTCCTGCACGTACAAATTCTCGAGGAGACCAGGAAAACCGGGCTGGAAGATGCTGTGCATATGGTAGTCATCGTGTAATCTTACCATGCACGTATATGCTCGCTGGCAGGAAGTAAGGGAAGCTGTTGTCTACCACGTAAACATTCGTCTTACCTCAGGCTGAAGATAACACAACAAGGTGGAGGCGATAGGACCCATGCCTTGAACATACCCGCAATCTGGGCAAAGGAGAGAAAAGCAATGGAGAACCCGGAATAAGGATCGTTGACTGCCAGCCTGATCAGCTCTAGAGATCGGAACATCAGATCTGCTGGACCCACCCTAAACCATAGCGTGTGTAAAAGAACACATGGCCAGTGATCGTACGGGGTACATCGAGATCGATTTGTATGTCGAAAGTGGATGGATGGTTGATGAGCTCCTGCGGATCGTGTCAGGTTTCTGCAGAAAGGACAAGGAAGCCAATACAAAGTAACGCTGCTGTAATTGTTCAACTGAAAGACGCGAACGAGGCACATCTAGCCAATTGAGTCTGCTTTCTATGACTGACCACCAAGCAGCTCCCCTCCATCGATCCGGCACTCCCTTGTATAGTCGAGATCGCAACTGTGGTAAATGAACAACAAAACCAAAGGGGGCATTCAGCGTACTCGCCTTCCGTCCTTTCCGTTCGTCGAAAGTCCATGCAGCCACATTCCCTCCATCGTCTCGCTTTGACACTCGCATCATACGCTCCCATTTGTCCGTCCTCTCAATCTCCTTATCTTTTGGCACTTCTCGCAGTTTAGGTGGCACACGTAGCTCCGGTGGGCTTGGCGACATAGACCGCGACGCGAGCCTGACGTGGGTCAAGCGTTTCTTCAGCGGCAATGCCGGCAACAAAGCAAGACGAGCATCGTGGTGGGCTTCTGACACCATGTAAAATCCATACCTAGTGCGGGATCAGAGCAGGGATCACGGGTCAGATTGATATCTTACCGATCCAGGCTCTTCAACACCCCTTCCTCTTTCTCGGTGAGGCCACTTTCACTCAGCTGGCTTCCTTCCTGGACAGAATACGAGGAAACCACTCTAGTGCGGGTTCTCTCTATGCCCTCATCGTAACCATCTCCGGGCACTCCCTCGTGGTCCAGGGTTGCATACGTCGCTCGGACATGATAGCAATCGTCGTCTTCGTCAGGCGCCTGCACTGAGTACGCTTGAGAGGAGGTGCGGGAGATTGTTGCAGGGGTGGATTGTGTAGAGATGGTGATTCGGGGGGAAGGCGGTCGTAGACCGCTCTCTACTTGGGGCACGGCGAGACCAACACCGGAGGATGTACCTTGGAATTCTTCAGAAGATACGTTGAGCAGTATATTGGGTGCATCGCTCGTTTCGACGTCACTTGGGGCCACTAACGAATTTGTCGGAGGGACGGAGGACAATTCTTTGTCGAGTGTGGTAGGTCTCGAGCGATGGCGAATTTCTGCCATTGGTGCTCGGATTCTTTCCTCTCCGTACATAGAAAATATTGTGGCAGCAGTCGTCTCACTGGAACTCCGCACCTCCGAAAAGTCGGTGTTGGGGAAGGATTCGAGCGAGGTGTGTGCAGTAGCTAGATTGCTTCGCTTCTTCACGAGTATTGGGGGTGCAAGGGCGCGGTTGTCGAATCGCGCTGCAGGAATGACATTTGGGCTGCCGAACGAGTCAGGTCTGGAGGTTGCAAAAGAGGCGTAGGGCAGTTCGATATGGTGACCATCCAGTGGCGCAGGTAACAGATCGAACGCCGTTGACAACGCTGCAGACATCCACGCAGAGAGTCTTCTGCACTCGGCGCGACCAACCAGCAAGCGAATAGCGTGTGCAGTACTGCCTAGATTGAACGCTAGTGCAGGCTGCAATTGATGTCAAGTGTGCTGTGTGGGGAAGTGAGAGGTTTTGGAAATGAATGGTCGTGGGCTAGGGTCGTGGCGGCAATGCCGCTCCCGGCACTCGTGGCCGGAACAACCGGTCGGGCCGCGACGTTAACTTGCCCATACAGCAACACGCCTGAAAATGCCATAAGAGCAGCCTTTCGCACATACTTGTATTACAAGTGCTCACAGACCTCAATTCTCACCCGTTTGTCTTCAAGCCGCTGCCTTAGCACAATGTCGCTTCCCAAGACCACGAAAGCAATCCTTGTCCAAAAGACTGGGGGGCCGGAAGTGCTTGCACTGGGAGAAGTCGCTACTCCTACCCCATCTGCGGACAAGGTTCTCGTCAAAGTAGAATGGGCTGGCGTCAACTATGGTTGGTGCACCTCCTCTTGCCTGCCCTTTCCCGTATCGATATTGCTGTGATTTTTAGTCGACACCTACAAGAGAGCAGGTGTTTATACCCTTCCGTTGCCCCTTGTCCTGGGAGAAGAATGCTCTGGCACAATTGTGGCGCTTCCGACGTCAGAATCTGTGCTCAACTCTGAGCAGTACGCTTTGCGTAATTTCCACGTGGGAGACAGAGTTGCCTGCACTGTGTCAGGTAGCTTTGCCCAGTACGCTGCGGCTTCGTGGGAAAAGTGCTGGAAACTTCCTGTGGTGAGCTGAATATCACTGTATCTGTTGACCACACTTGTGACAATTTACGGCAGAATGTAGAGACGAAGATCGGTGCCCTCTGTGTCTTACAAGGATTGACGGGTATGTTGTTCCTTGGCCGAGATGGGTATCCGCATGTGGATCTGGGTTGATAACTGTCTCTCAGCATTGACAATGATCCGAGAGACTTATACCGTCAAGAAAGGAGATTACGTCCTTGTGCATGCAGCTGCAGGAGGTGTCGGTCTGCTACTGTGTCAGGTGTGCATGGCTCTGTGAATGTGAGATGTTTTTCAGTGAACATTTGAACCCTTGTCCAGGCGTGTTCCTACCTTGGCGCCCACGTTATCGGCACGGTTTCCACTCTGGCAAAAGCGCAATTGGCAAGAGAGAATGGAGCGGAACATGTCATCATTTCGAAGGAGCAAAATGTGATCCAGGAAGTCATGAAGTTGACTGACGGAAAAGGATGTCATGTCATATTGGACGGAATTGGCAAAGACACGTATGTAATCGCTTTCACAAGAAGGCCAACATTTGACTATTCTTAGTTGGGAAGATGACTTTGAAATGATCAGGCGCAAGGGCACCATCGTTACCTACGGCAACGCAAGTGGCGTTGGTGAGATGAACGCTCGCATATCTGAGTGATCTGACTTATGAGAACCTACGTAGTGCCCCCATTTGCCCCTCTGAAGCTCGCAGGAAAGAACATCAAGGTCGCTCGACCAACGTGAGTATGCTTGGGAGAGACCATTGATGGGAACGCTTCTAACCAATTTACCTTCCTTAGTCTTGGGAACTACATCGTCACAGCGGAAGAGTCAGCCGAATATTTTAGCTGGCTCTTTGAGCTAATCGACAAAGGTGTACTCAAGTTCCATGTGCATGATGAGTATCCTTTCACTGCAGACGGAGTAAGGAAATCGCAAACCGACATCACATCCCGTGGTACGACCGGCAAGCTCGTCATTAAGGTCGAGTAGTGGCAAATAAGGACCAAGAAAGAGTCGGCAGTGGGTGCTGGGAGTAGATGAAGCAGAAACAATGAGCAAGGAATTGATGATTGTATGGGGAGACTATTAATGGATGGAATCATGAATCCGGGCATCTCGAATGTTGAATAGTCACATGGCGGTGTGATGCCGAACACAAGGCACATGCCGTAATATCAGAGAAGGTGAAAGAGGCGCAGTTATACAGTGGCTTCTGATGATACTAGTTTCTGGACAACTGAAGAACGATCGTCACGAGTACATTGTGCACGAAGCATTGCTGAACCTGCCCCGAGGAGCTCAGAGGGCTTGATGGCCATTCATGAGGGCCATGGTCGTGTTTGACGATCGCAAGGACATGAATGCGAGCAGTGAGTCTATACGACTCCCAGGACACATGCTCCAGCCGCAGTCCTTATGCTTCTTTAAATCTTGAGGCCTTAAGAGCATGCTATCATGCAGGGCCCACATGTCTAGACCCCTTGGTTCAAACGCTTGCGACAGGTTAGGTCCAGACACAAGACCACGCAGGGGAATTATCAGCACCACAATGTCCGCGCCGATCAGAATGGCCTAGCTGCATGCTTCCATGTTCTAGAGGAGGGAGTAATCCATCGTCTTCTAAGATGGCATCCGTCCTCAGATAGCTCTGCATCTTCATGTTGCCATCTTGTTCGCAGTGGAGGATATCAGATGCCCCTTTTTGAATTTGCTCGTCCTCTAGATGGAACAACCTGGAGGCCTTTGCGTAACGGTATATGCATACATGAAGGCGAATTCACTCACCATTGTAGAGAAAGATTTAACAAGTGTACACCTTCGACTAGGTCCAGTAGTTGCACAGAGGGATTAGTGTGCCAAGTACCTCCCATGGCCAGTAAGAGAGAATGAAGAGAGTGCGGTGTTCGTGGGAGAGAACTGAATGGGTCGTCCAAAACAGGTACTGTGATCCGTGTCAAAGCAGAAGCTGGGTAAAGGTGTAAATCCAGACAAACTATCATGGAATGTGCACGATTCCAGCTTCTCAGCCATCATCCAAAGATCTGCCATTTCTTGACCGCGGCGGAAAAGGCCATCCAACAAGCTATGAAGATCGCGATTAGTTTCCCCCGAAGTCTGATAGTTCAATTGGGTCCAGGAAACCGCTTCTACATCTTGCACAGAGAAAGTCCAAGCAGGGCGTCGTCGTTCAGTTCTGTTAGGTAATGTGGTGAGGTTTCCAGACTTGATTTAATGGGCCTACTCGTGCGTTTCTGAAGGATAGAACGTTGTGCTCCGACGTCGTGCCCTGGGTATGAGAGCATTGTCTACGCTAATTAGGGCAGAACAATGTCACAGAATTCATCGCTCACCAATTTTCAGAGCAGACCAAGTGGGCGGCAAGGGACTCGTTGGAGGGGTACCACTGGACGGCGTCTCATCATGGTCGGAAGAACATGAATAGGAAGAAAAGGCCACCGGAGACGATGTATGCGCGGCATCTACCAGAAAATAACATAGGGTTGATCAAACAGAAAATCATGTTGCTGTGGTGAATGGCTCGCCTTCAGCCATGAAGAGAGGCTCCGCCACCGCAATGACAAAGCAATCGAGGTCGACAGCTGTGCACTGCTTTCCAGCATATTGCTGACCCGAATTTGGCACCAGGCGGGAGAACAAAGGAGGGGATAGCCTTGGATACTCCCAAGCTGGCGTAGGTGAAGTGAGAATTAAATCACGGACGTCGCTTTGGTCAGTTTGCTCGTTGTCTCTCCACGTATGACAGGGCAGAAGGCGTAGTCGAAATATTATGTCGCCGCGTGTAGAGGCGGATATGGGTAAAGGCTGGGATCTACGCAGTAGGTCGGCCAGGTTTATCATAAAAGGGCTTGAACGTCACTACAGAAAATCATAAACTGTGATTGTCGGGGTTGGCGTATCAGGGATAGAGATCTGCAGCGCATCAATACCATATATGACCCTTTCCGGGGATGAATCCCGCCTGTGCGCCGTGATATTTTTGCCTTCTCGACTCAAGAGCGCTATAAATGGACAGAACATTGTTTCATAGTCTAACTCTCAGCATTGAGCATCTTCCGGTTGCATCGTGCAGATGGAAAAGTACCAGCATCTTCGTGGTGGAGGAGCGATGTGGGAGAGTCTCCTCGGAGCGCGGCCTCCACTTTTTGCAAAATCCCAAAGGTGACGTCTTTCGAGACCCAATGTTCATCATCTTTGTACGGCGTTTCCAGTCCGAGGCGGATGCCAGAAAGAGAGTCATGCAAAGGATGAAGCTCAGTTTCCCGGGTAAGGTAATGGAGTTCATGAAGGGCACTCTGTGATGCGGAGCTCCAATCCAATGAATACTGTACAGAGACAGGAACACGTACGATCACAGTTTCATAGGTGCCGGACTGATAGTCTCTGAGGAGATGCACATCGATATAGGTTGACATGGCAGCGTTCCGTCTGAGAATAGAGTACTGGTGTTTGTTTCCTGTTAGAGGAGGTAATACCGGATGACACCCCGGGGGCAAATTCCTGATATGACCCCAGGGCCTGCCCTAAGCAACACGGGGGTGGTGCGAGCAGAGCTGGCGCGGCCGATTTCTGTGACGTAGATCTCAAGTTTCACACCAAAGTATCGCATGTTTCTAATGAAAACTCTGCCATCCAAGCTCCATCTTGCTCTCAGTCAGCTCACAATAGTCACTGTATTCAGCAGAGTAGAGCATTCACTGCTGTGTAGTCAAGGGTGCATTGACAGACCTGGATCATTGTCTGGCAGATCTCATGTAACATGAACCAGGGTCTAGCAACAGAAGAGGATCCAGCATTGCAGACATGTCAAGGTGACCTTCACCAGGGGACTTGATGATTTGTGCATTAAACCACCAGCAATGTTCTCACTCTCTCTTATACATCCACCTTCACTATCTGCCATCCACTGTTCACATCCACTCCTTAATAACACTTTGATGATCCATTGCAAGGTATGAGATGTTGTTGAGCCAGTCAATAGCACAAAACTGACTGATATGCATAGAACACATTAACCATATTGATCTCATCCCCAGCACATCTACATTACTGCATCTTTGCTGGTCTTCAGGAAGCAAGTCAAAGGGTCAAAGGAAGCAAGGAATCATGCAAATGTATGCAGTGTTAGAGTCATTGCAATGAATGATATCTGCCTCACTTTAATAAAGAGATCCTAGAAGTGCTGCTTGGGGTATTCATGTCTGATAAGACCTGGAACTTCCTGTGTTGGGAAATCTTAGGACAATGGCAGTGGCCACAGCAGATATTGTGAAAAGGATACCACAAGACTGCTGTGTCCAAACACTTGGGATACATAGCAGTACCAGAGACCCCTACTAGGTGTAGTGGGATATTGTAGGAGTCTCCACAATTTATTGGAACAGCTTGGGAGACCTAGGGGTGTTGCTGGGATCTATCTCAGCATAAGCCATCACTGAGGGTCCAGTCCAATAAAGTATCCCTCAGGTACTGTTAAACCATGTATCAGAGAAAACATCTAGATACAGTTTCTAGTGATGATGATGAAGAAAAAGAAAAGGATGCAGAAAAGGGTAGACTGGGCCTGCAGATAATTAGGGCCCAGCAATGGAGCAAACAGAAGAAGATATGCAACACATACAGGGGAGTACTGGAGGACTCTAGGAAGGAATACAAGGCAGAATAGACAAGCAAGGGGGACTCTTACTTGTGAGAGTCCCCAGAATTGATCTGCCTCACTCATGTCTGCTTGTAGATAATATGTTAGAGGTGAGCATGAACAAGACAAGACCACTTGGCCCCTCAAACCCTTCCAACTAATTATGGCAGTCACAAGTGATGTTTGTGTTCATAGCACTAGGAGTGGTCCCTACCACTGCAAGTATTGCTAATTCACTCTTAATCATCATCAATAAAAACCACAGGAGGTGCAATAGCATGGGACCCCTATTATGGGTACTATGAGGCATCTATGGCAGACCTGGCAGTGCTACTGGAGGGCTCTGTAGGCTGGTATGGATGCCAGGACCCCTATGAATTATATATATAGCATCCACAGTTTCTACAGATGGTTCCATAGCAGTTTCCAATATACTTGTGCTGCTCCTTGGGTGGAATAGGGGGTCAGATCTAAAGGTAAACCCATAATCTCAGGGTCTACAAATAGGAACTGGGAATATCTAGAGTGGGAAAGATGTGAGTGTAGTCAGAGATCTATTGAAAGGGCATCAGTATAGGCCCTCACTGATGGTCCAGTCCAATAAAGTATCACTCAGGAGTACTGTTAAGACCATTCTATATTAGAGAAAACCATCTAGATACAGTTTTTAGTGATGATAGTGAGGAGAGAGGAAAGGACACAGAAAAAGGTAGACTAGGCCCACAAACAAGTACAGCCTAGCAATGGAAGCAAACAGAATAGAGGAGTAAGGAGGACCCTGACATCTATCTGGCAGTAATGAATGAGGCTGTGCACTGAGTAGTGCTGGTTTGGTCAAATATAATATGTCTCCTATACCTTCAATTCCAGTCTGCTCCATTGATCCTTTGAAATACAGTGAATATAGGACAAGCTGCTGCTTCAATCTGCCTTCTCCTTGTTCTATGAATTCAAACCATCACACTACCCTTGAATTCGGCCTAGTGCAGACAAAATCTCACACAAACTAGGCATTTAAAGTAACTGTGGCATAACTAGTAAGTCAGGTAGCCATTTTGATGGAGTTGTTCACCTTGGTTGAGAAGGTCAGTACAAATTGCACAGAGCAGAGATACATCACCTGTAAGTTGCTTCTTATCCGGTAGGGTGCAAATAGAGATTGGACAGAAGACAAAGCACCTCCCTTTCTCAGCATTTATCTGCCTGAGTGAGCCAGATAATTAAGTGTGAATTAAACAGAGAACTGCACATGGCTGGGGAGGGGGCACTGATTCAGTGTGATGGCAATGCAACAAAAATTGACATTCTCTGTTATGATGTTTAGAATCAGGAAGTCAATGTTTTGTCTCCAACAAGAAGGAAGCAGGTCCAAGATTTATCTCATCTATGTCTGCACTTAGATCTGCTAGGAAGTTACTGCACCTTGTTTGGTTCTCTCTGATATGCAATTCAATATTGACACCAGGTTTCATGGTTCAAATGCTGACACTTCTACTGGCGATCACCTTTTCACCCTCCGTCTCAACTTCGGAAATACAGATGCCCAGGTTCAGATAGGTTGCTGTCACAACCAAGAGAGGGTCAGAATTCGATTTTCAGTTTGCCATCAGGAGGTTGAGTGCTTACACCAGTGTCCTCCGGTTTTGGCGTCGAGTCCAACGTTGCTGGCTATCTAGCGTCAGTTAGTCAGTTGGTGACAGCCTATAATAGAATCATGCAGTCATTCACAGCGATATTTGGACCCGTTGTGAGGGGGTAAAACTATTCAGATGGGATTGCGCATTGGGCACCCCTCGCTTTTAGACGGAGAGGGTGAGAAACACCTCTTGGGTTAATTCATACGAGAATGAGGATTGCGAATTGCAAAGTAGAGTCTTCTCTAACGAGTCCAGCCTTTTTCTGCCAACCTGGCTTATCATCCAACCTAATAGATAGCCACGTGCGCAACGTCCCTCCCCAGAGGGTCACGCGTCCTTTGACCACTGCTCCATAGCGTCTTCCAGATTGAATTTTGGATCCTCCGGGTCCGTGATCACTACCGTTGCGTTAAGCCTTGAACGAGTTACAGGCCACAATACACTCACCGCCTGACGTCGGTGTTACCTGCTTCTTTTTCCACGCTTCCCGCGCCTCTTTGATCAATTGATCTCTCCTTTGATGGTCATGAGCTTCCTTCTTTGCATTCTCTTCCCCCTGCAGTGTTCTACGATGGACAATCCCGTAGAAAATCCCTCCTAATAGGGCCGAATACCGAACAACCTACATCAAAGATGAGTATGAGCAAAATGGATGGTATGGTGCGAGAGATCGTATGCATTGACCGCCAACGAGGTCGGAAGTTCATTGTAAAGTGCAGACGAGGAACCAAATGATTCTCACATTGACTGTGGACGACATTCCAGAATGCTACGTGCCCGACGATGTGAGTCAGGTATCCGGTTGAATCTGGCGTAGGATATCAATGATAGACCTGAGATAAGGAGAACAAACGCACATATCGTTTGGTGGCTATTGGAAGAGCAGGGAGGACTCCCGATGGTGTGAAATTGGCAGTCGGATCTTGCCGGGTTTGGCAGGGAGGGCCCTAACCGTGACGAGCAGTCCCTTTTCTCGCCACTTCGACGCGCCTCCTTTAGTTGTTTTTGTTTTACAATATTATCCCGCATTACAAGAAAAAGGCGCACTGGCAACCTATATAAATGGACGAAGACGACGCATTTCTGTATGGCGACGAAGAGGATTACCCCAGTGTAGTGGAAGCCCCTTCTGAGCAGCCCCCAAAGGACCCCGAACCAAGTGAGTTGTTCAATGTCAGCGGCAACGCTCTTCTCTTACAGGAAGGCAACTGACTACCGGCTCCCTTATCACGGTTAGACCAGAGCATTCCGGGCCAGTGAGTACATGTGTAGTGCGAAACACTGGTCTATAATAACACGTGAACGGGCAGGTTGATTGTATTGCCTAACGGGCCTGCCGAACCGTTTCTGGTCGCTTCAGTACCGGCAGTCGTGGTTGCGGAAGACCTAGAAGAGCCCGATGAACTTCCGATGGAGCACAGTGAAGGCGAGGGCAAAGAAGGAGATGCTGATGGCGAAGAGGAGGGGGAAGAAGAAGACGAGGAGGAAGACAGAGAAAGCGAGGATGACGTGGGTGTCTGAACCTGCTGCCCGAGAGTTTATCTTACAGGGTTGTAGGACTTGGAGATCATCTTGCAGCCACAACCCCGTTCCATCGATTTCCGCGACCCTAGTCATCAGCGGCCTGTTAGACCACCAGTGGCGTCTCCAGCGAAAGGTCTGTGCAACTGTCCCTAATCCATTTGTTGCATGTTAATAACCTATGTTTTAGCCAGCAGTCTCCTGACGACAGAATATACGCCTCGTGAACGTGACACAAGTATCAGTATTCCCAAGAGCACTGGCACACCACAGTCCACAAACCTGATCCCTGTGACGGACGTGAAGCAGATTTCTACAGCTCAGGTTGCAGTCGAAAATCGTCCAATACCAGATGGTCCTCCACCTCGAGCAGCTTCTAATGCCCCGGAGATAGATCCGTCTGCTTCTGGAATGCTGGATGCTCGCTCGATCTACGAGGTGGAAATCCAATCGTTAGCGGAGAAACCATGGAGGCGGCCAGGTAGCGATCTCAGTGACTGGTTCAATTATGGATTCGATGAGATATCATGGGAGGCCTATTGCATGAGGAAAAAAGAGCTAAGCGAGCTTAGTACTGCCCTCAAGCAGAACGTGATTGTGGGTCCTATACCTCTTTTGGAAAGGCGGGACATTGACCAAGCATTCAAGGCATATACTGGGATGCCTGAGAACCAATTGCTGGCACTCCCTCCTGAGATGCGGACTATGGCTATCAATAGTGCGAACATGGCAAACACTATGCCCATCGGTATGGCCCAGAACATAATGGGAGGTATGCCAGGTATCCCTGCCGGGGATATGATGGGTATGCCTGCCATAGGAATGGCGGGCATGCAGCCAGTTCAACAGAATATGATGGGCACTGCAATGGGGCCCGAGCATAGCATCCATATGCACGACAACATGACTGGTAACGTGCAAGGCCAGGGACCTAGTATTGAAGGAATGGCCTCTGAAGGCTTTCCCTATGGGTACAGCGGAGTTCAAATCACCCCAGGTGCACCCGTTGGCGGTTCAGACACCAATACCCCAGTGTGTCTCATTCTAACTCCTTTAGAGAGCAGCTGTTGACGTCCTGCTCTACTTGTAGGGCATTGCACAATTCAGTACATTCACGGGTGGCTACGGTGTTGATGCAAGCGGGTCACATGGAGATCACGCCTTTCCAGCGAGGACAACGGCTCGTCACACTACGCTAGGTGGCCGTGGAAGTACCCCTGTCCGAGGAACGGGGGTACCTGTGCGAGGGCGAGGTCGAGGGGCGGGGTTTGCTGCCGGAGAGAATAGTAAGTGTTTACGTTATTAAGGAGAGGTGATCTCATTAATTATGAATCGACAGTGTCGACTCTTCCAACTCGTCCTGCATCGCCCCTTCCGCCGAATGTTCCAACAGGACCGCGGAACAGGACAACATACAAAGACAAAGACCGAGAGCCCGTGAAACAAGATGTTGAAGGGTTGGACTATGGGGGCGGCATAGTTGTAGAACCTGCCACCAGTAGTCGCAAAAGGCCGTACATTGGTGAGGAGGAGACTGGACGTTCTAAACGTCGGTGAGCACAAGTTAGGCCAAACCGAGGTGTAGTATCAATCGAATCTAGCGTCATTGATTACAGACCACATCTCCAGGTGTGTGTCCCCATGACTCATGCCAGATAGATATCAAAATATTAGGCGTAGAAGTTCAAACACCCCTATAATTGCATGTCAGAGACAATGCCAGCAGAACTTAAATAACTGGCTCACCCCCCCCTAATAACACAACGAAAAGGAGTATGAGAACCGTTATACCAACCGGTGACCGTCTAAAGCACTCCCATGTAAGTGTAACAAGTTCGGAGATGTGTAAACCACGAACTTGTTCAACTTGTCTTTTTGGGATGGGTTTACAATTGTCTTTCCTGCTCGGGCGCGTGCCGCGAACTGCTGATTTTTTTTTCGCATTTCAAAAGCAGTCGGCTGAGCAGGCTGTGAGCAGGTGAATAGCAACGAGTCGTAGAAGACACACCATGGCTAAGAAGTTTTATAAAGAGCGTAAAAGCCGCTGTTATTAGTGACACGGTTTCTGTAAAGGTGAGGGCACGACCCAACCAGGGTCTTCGCAGCAACGGCCATGTGCCTGTGTCGCTCACTTCACTAGTTGTGCCTATGGGCAAATCCAACAAATCGAAAGGTGGCCTCAGGTCTGCCCTTGTGTCCCTGCAATCTCGCGTTCATGCGGCAGATAAAGCGGCATCTGCTCAGCATGTTCAGGAAAAGAAGGACCAGGCGGATCAAAGACAGCGAAGCGGGAAAAAGCACACTAGTCAGGGTGGTCAAAGTGCACCAGTCCCCTTTGTTTCTCCTTGGGACAATACACTTCTGATAGGCGAAGGTAAAATACTCCAATAGGACAAGCATAATCAAATCTTTATCGTTTCGCAGGCAACTTTTCGTTTTCATTGTCACTGGTTCAGCATCATGGAATACCAGGCTACCGCATCACGGCCACATCTTATGATACTGAAGAACAACTAACGCAAAAATACCCCGAGGCTCATGAGAATCTTCGTTTGTTGCGTGAAAATGGTGTCACAGTGTTTCTTCACGTTGATGCCCGTACTTTGCACAAGTGCAAGACACTAGTGAATATATCCAAACGTTCAGGCGGTTTCTCAAGGGTTGTATGGAACTTCCCTCATACAGGCGAGTCAATTGGTGACTCCATTCTTTCCAATGGCAAATGACCTTCGACTGCCACAGGTGCCGGTATACAGGATCAGGACCGAAATGTGCGAGTGAATCAGCAAGCTATAATCGGTTTTCTTCGATCTGTGGCACCGTTGTTATCTTCGGGGCGAAGCATGACATCCACTTCTGAAGCACTCAGTGATGACGCACAAGATTCTGATGTCGAGGTGGAAAATTTGACAAAGCGCGTGGATTCTCGCGGAAGGGTGTTGATCACTCTCCGAAACTCGGTGCCTTACACTCTCTGGTAATCAATTGTCTGCTATCTCTTTAATCAGCCTCTCATGACGCCACAGGGAAGTTTCGCAGCTAGCCAAACACCCACCTCCTGATCATCCCGCATATGTAAAAATACGCTCGTATGGGTTCCAACCCTCGGCATATCCAGGAGTGAGTCGTTCAAATTCAATCGTTGACTAGTCTCAAGTACGTCCCAGTATGAACACCGTCGTACGATAGGCGGGACCATTCATCGTCCAACTTCTGGTGACCACGAGGTGCCGCAAAGCTCTGCTCCCGATAACAATAACCGAGTATCTGAATGTCGAACGTGGGAATTCGCTCTGCGGGAATGATGACCTGATGTGTGTGCGATGTTGGCTGTCGCTCATACGGTCTTGTTGGACCGTTCTGTTGGTTGACGATCTGTTACAAGAATTTGCGCACGGCTTAACAGATTTGCTAAGGGCAGCTGCCTCTCTGTGCAGCGAAGTGGGGCCCTGTTTGAAGAGCATAGCCTGTATCCCCACTGGCTTTTATTGGGGACAAGCTAGTGTTGAACACGGTCAAACAGCATTTTGATGAATTGTTGCTTCATCAGTAGAGTACTGCACTATCCGGTCACCACTTTCCCCTTTCACCTCCTTTTCCATCTCGCCGTTAGCTCATGTGTAAAGCACTTGAGCATTGTAACCCCCCCAGCTGTCAACAAAAGGCGTACCATTTGTTGTGCGGGTTATCTCTGAATTCTAGAGTTTAACACAGCTACAGCCAGTAATATTTTGCTTCCCATGTCATAAAGGGGTCCTGGCCCACTGTTCTATATTATGACGCTACCTTGCTTGGTGAATAACACAAAAAATGGCCAGCTCCTGTCATTAATCAATCATGTGTAGACGCTCAGTTATTATTTTGCAATTTTAAGTGGATTTTTTCCCTACAAACCTGACAAAGTGTGATGAAGACTGTGCTCTGAGGTTGGGGTTAGACGCATAGGGACCCCGGCTACGACTCGAATAGAGTTTTACCGACGAGCGCGACTGAACAACATTGGAGACGCGTCCCGCGCTTGCAACCTCTCACTTACCCTCAACTGAAAGCTGATCGAACATGAGTGCACGCGACACGCCCAATTCGTCGAAGAGCGGTGGTCAAGCTCGTATGGAAGTTGAAGATGACGAGGAACCGCACCGTCCTGATGTTTCTCTCGCTGGGGTTGCGTGGGATGAGCCAGAGCAAGAGGATGAGGTGAGTAGCACCGTGCTCCGTCTTTGTGCCTTGCGCGGTTTGAGCCTTCCTGCCTAGCATAAACTCATCAACGAAGAGTATAAAGTCTGGAAGAAGAACAGTATTTCCCAGTTTGCTCTCCTCGGCTTGGACCTGCTGACCGACAATGCCTAGCTCCATTTCTCTATGACGCCCTAGTCACGCATGCACTCGACTGGCCATCATTGACATGCCAGTGGTTTCCAGATAAGGAAAAGTATACAGGACCACACCCAGCTGTCTATTTGTGCTAAGTTATATGTTCCAGCCCCCCAAACAAACCATATACCGTGCAACGCCTTCTCCTTGGAACGCACTCATCTAATCAAGCGCGAGAGTACCTCCAGATTGTTGAGGTACAATTTCCAAAGGTTCTTGAAAATGGGAAGTCAGTGCTAGATAGTACAGACTATGATGATGAGAAAGGCGGTGAGTGTGTTCGTTCGGTCCTGGCGACTGTACTAACTCTATGAAGAGCTTGGCGCTCACGGTTCACGGGAAGCTCGCATACGCGTTACTCAAAAAATCAACCATCGGCACGAAGTTAACCGCGCACGTTACATGCCTCAAAATCCCGATATCATTGCCACGCAGACCACGATGGGCGATATTTACATATTCGATCGCACTAAACACTCCAACCATCCTGATGCGGACGGGGAGTGCCGACCTGACATCGTCTTGCGTGGGCAGACGCGCGAAAGGTTCGGGCCACCCCTAGAAGTTACCGGATTTATTCCTGACCAGTGTTAGCTATGGAATGAGCTGGAATCCATTGAAGAAAGGGCACATTTTAAGTGCTTCATACGACACTGGTGTCTATGAATGGTGTGTGTCTACGTCGTGCGCAAATCGTCGCTGACATGGGCGTAGGGATTTGCAACAGTATTCAAAGATGAGCGGAAATATTGAGAGTGTGAGGAAGTATGAAGCTCATTCAGAGCAAGTGGAGGTAAGCACTTCTCTAGCGAAAGCAATATATGCGAGACAAGTTCACCCCGCCCATCCAGGACGTCTCTTGGAATCGGCACAATGATTACTTGTTCGCATCCGTTGGAGACGACAAGATGTTATATATGTAAGTTGCACATATTCAAGAGGTGTATTGAAGTCTTGAACTTGCACTTCCAGTTGGGACTCCCGCGCCCCCAATAAACCCATTCAGGATTGTGTGGCCCATGATCAAGATGTGAATGCTGTAGACTTCAACCCGGCATCGGAGACTCTGCTTCTCACTGGCTCGGCTGACTGCGTAAGTGCGGCTCGAACAGTCATAGGACGATCTAATGCAGTTCATTTAGTCCCTGGCTTTGTGGGATCTTCGAAACATCAAAACCAAATTGCATTCGTTCGAGGGTCATCGCGGATCCGTGATCCTCGCAGCATGGTCCCCCAACTACGAGACAGTATTTGCCAGCGTTGGGGATGATCGCCGAGTCAATATATGGGATGTGGCGCGCATAGGAGAGGAGCAAACTCCAGATGATGCGGAAGATGGGCCGCCCGAACTTGTGTTCATGCACGGAGGGCATACTTCGAAAATATCTGATTTTGGGTGGTCGCCCACGACACCATGGCAGCTTTGCTCAACGGCTGACGACAACATTTTGCAGCTATGGACACCTACTTCCAATGTCTGGGCTGGAGAGGCTGTTCCGATTGAGATAGATGAACTCGAATGACCAATCCATGATAAGAGAAGATAATAAAGCGCAACATTACTCTGCATATATCGTGTACCAGTTCTGCCATGGATTTTTTTAAATCTCTTTCAACGGAGGACAGACCCACCTTACAGCTCATCTCGAGCTCGAGACGTACTGAACGGTTCGACAGGTTCCAGGCCATCCAGCCATTCAGTCAAGGCGGCGTTGAATGCTTCAGGTTCCTCCAACTGGGGCCAGTGGGCCGTGCCAAGCCTCTACATTTGACTTTGACTAATGGGCACACAGCATTAAATAGAGAACGAACCTTGACAGTGAGCTTTGAGAACCACTGGTCAGAGTGCAACATCTGATCCACTTCCAACCAATCTGCAACAGGGTCCTGTGTGACCTGTCAGCTTAGCGGCGCATGTCGATGGAGAGGACCCACCACCGTCGGCACGAGCCAGAGCGAAGGCTGTGAAAGAGTGAAATTGCCCTGCTTATTCTGGAATGTGTATGAACCATATCGGTTGCCATTTGTATAGAATTGCAGGGCTGAACGTAGATGATGGATGAGCCATGTTCCCCTTATCTGTTCAAGGCAATAACGCACTATTCTTGAAGCCTTGATGACGATAGCTCTCAACCATGTAGTCTTCTTCTTCTGTTTTCATGAAGGGGATCGGTGGGATCTCTGCAACGTCCTTCCAAGCCCCCAAGAATGAAGTGGTCGATGTGAGAAACTCCGCGGGAGGGGGTGACTGCACATTCCTGAGTGTGCTTCGCAATGTACGACGAATGTCGGCATCCAATTCTTCTGCTGCTCCTGTTGTGTCATTGGCGAAGTAGACTTGATAAGTAAGTTTTGGTAGGTACTTCGTCAGTGCTTCGATGGGCATGTACGGGCCAGCGGAAGGCATGTAAGGTACGACGGCCCCAGCAAGTTCCAGAAAACGATCAGGTCGTTGCCTCCCAGCCTCCCAGCATGCCTCTGCGCCCCAGTCGTGACCAACACAGACCGCAGTTTCAACACCGGCTTGATCAAGGATACAAGTGAAATCGGAAACAAAGTCTTCCATTTGGGATGAAGACTGAACATCCCCGGGGTGCCCTGACTGGCCAAACCCACGGAGATCCGGAACAATCAAATGGTAGTCATTCTAATGGAGGATAAGCACTGTTATTTAGAAGCGATCATAATGCCTCGGCGCACCTCGAATTCCAGGATCTGGTTGGACCAGGTACTCCATAGAGATGGCCAGCCATGGACGAGGAGAAGAACCCTCTTGGCATTGGGGGGATTAACCTCCACATACTCTGCAGAGCTACGTTAGGGCCTCTCTTATGGTGCATGCCATTCCCCCTTACTCAGGTCAATAGTCTTCGACAGAGGTGGGGAAACCGAACGATCGAATGCTGGACAAGATGCTGTTTGCTGAGTGTATGCGCGTGGGTCAAAAGAAGGCTTTGCTGATGCCGGCTCATCAGCACAGACAGCAAGGAGGATAGAAGCAAAGAGCGCCGCCTGGAGTAACATGGCTGAAAGACAACACAGAGCAACGCATGCTGGTGGACGTCTATATATACCGTGGCTTTCAGGAACCCTGAGGACATGGTCTGCGGTGATCCCGTTATTGCCGGCAACTTTCATCCTCCGGTACTGTCTGCCGAATTTGTATCTTCTTTGTGGCGCCGCTAATTATTAGCATTTGGAACGACGGATTGGGCTGTGTTAAAGTCTGATTTTATGGCCTTGCCGCTGCCCGTATTTGAAATGGATCCCGATGCATACGACGTAGAAGGGTCTGAGGAAGACGAGGACCTTGTCGTTGCACAAATCGATGGCCAAGCATCTGCTGAGTTCCTTGGGGAACCGCCACGAAAAAGACCAAAGCTGGACGCAGATTCCCTAGAGGTGAAGGTCATTGATTGCGTTTTGTGCGGTATTCTCACAGCCGTCACACCTACCCAGTCGCCCGATCAGACGATCGATACCACCTCAGTCCTCCAGCAAAGTTCGCCCCTTGGACAACCCAGGCAACGACCGCGGGCAAAACGGAATTTTCGAAATATACACATTGGAAGATGGGAAATTGAGCCTGGGTACGATTCAAACGGTCTTTGTGCTGTTTCGGTCCGCGCTGACCATCTGTCAGGCATTACTCACCATACCCTTTACCAGATGAAGATGATGCAGTTTACACCGCCTTCCAGAGGATAACGCCGCCACCTTCCGCTACTAACGGTCGTCACGGGCGGAGTCGGAAGTCTGGGTCAACAATCGAATCTGAAGACTTCGCCCCAGGGGCCAGCATTCTCTGGGTATGCGATCGATGTTTCAAATACACGAAAAACGCAGCAAGCCACGAACTTCACGCCGTATGCTCGATTCTCATCTGGACTTCGATCTTTTGTGCTCATACTCTACAAGAAAACATGCCAGTCAACACATCCTCCTGGCCGAAAAGTGTACCAAAAAGGAGCGCTTACTATCTGGGAAGTGGATGGTGCACTTTCCAAGGTCCGTCATACATATCCACGAGTCTGCGTATTGTTTTATGTCTCATGACCTCCGCAGCTGTTTTGTCAGAACCTGTCTTTATTTGGAAAACTGTTCATTGATGTGAAGGAGATCTATTTCGACGTTGAGCCATGTGAGGTCCCACAGTTAAAGTACATGCTGGATTGCCTGACATCACGAAGTCATGTTCTACCTGCTGACGGACGGGGACCCCAGGCGAGATCACGTATTAGGTTTTTTCTCCAAAGTAAGAGTCCTCGTCATCACACTGATACAAATGCTTGACTGGGAACAGGAGAAGATCTCGTATGACAATAATAATCTTGCTTGTATCATTACATTTCCCCCGTATCAGAAACGCGGCTATGGCATGCTTATGATCGAGTTCAGTAAGTCGGTTGGTGTAGGATGCTGCGGTGAATACTGAAGTCCATGCAGGTTATGAGCTCTCTAGACGTGACGGCGTTTTTGGCAGTCCCGAACGACCTTTGTCAGAATCCGGTGTTCGGACTTACCTTGCATTTTGGATTTCCATGCTTGTGCGGCATTTGCGATCGGCATTCAAAGTGCATGGCTCTCCAACAAGGAGCGCGAACGTCTCGCGAAAATGGAAGAATACAAAGGGTTGGGATGGCGAGCTTCCCCTCACCCGAGCCAGAGCTGGCGCACTCCAGAACGGCACACATCCAGAAGATCCTTTTGCAGGCAAACGTGTAATCAACGGTATCGATGTCTCAGTGAAGATGACATTGCAAGATCTTGCCCAGGCCACGTACATACGACCGGAAGACATTGCTATGGCCCTGAACGAATGCGGTCTGCTGAAAAGACGTCGTACGATGGGGATGGACAGTCACCCCGAAATAATTATTTGCCAACGAGATCTAGAAAGAGTGGCAGAAGCATATCATGTAAAGCCCCAGTTTTTACATCCCGATCATGTCATGCTATGAAGGGATCAATAAACTTATGATGTAGTCATACAATCATTTTGAGAGATACAATGTGGGTATTTTACCCCAATCAAACATCCAGAACACCGTTGATAAAGTAGATATCACCGTTGGAAGCCTGCGAGTACAATGTGACGTCCGGTACATCAACAAACTAGTTGAGGGACGTACATGGACTTGGTCAAGGATGCGTATAGTCCCATTAACAGCATATTGCTCCCATTTCCATCCACTTTCTGATATCTGCTTGAAATAAACGTGCCGCCCATCCAGGAGGGTCGGATATGCGTCTGAAGACGACAGTTCAATCGGAGCCATCTAACATTTGTAGAAAGCGGACTTAGTTCAGATTCGAGAGACTACGAGACAACAAATGACATACTGGAATAATGTGGACAGATACCCAGCGCTCCACGTTGACCCGGGTCTTCTCATCCGTGATCTCCATGTCGTCCCCATCTGGCGCGGGGCCTTCATGCCTACCATAAAGATCAAACATCCATTCTAGTAGCATGACACAGAACTACTTACGGCTTCCTGTGTAATGCCAACACAGCTTTATTGACAGGCACAAGTAGGGTACTCTTCGACATGGCCGAGGTATCGGATAGCCTCAGGGACACCGACTCTACCTCCCGCGCATAGTCGTACCAAATGGAGCCGGCAGACCGGACAGTAAGAATATCAGCGAGAGTTGGTGGATTGAAAGTCGGATCTGGGGCATCCGTGTCAACCTGATCGCCCATAACAAGCTGGTGTGTCTGTGCACTACAAAGCGCAGGCATGAATAGGATAGAGAGGATGATGGCGCGAAGCAGTTGCATAATGATGGTCGTAGTAGTGTGAAGGCTTCTGTGTGGGCTTAGCGCTCACACCGCCACCAACAGCTTCGGTGGCTGGGCAGAAGGCGCCCTGAACTACCACACCATTGTTCTCACCTCCCACCATGACTAGAGCATCGCGATTTATCACTCTAAGTGCAACTTGCACGCTTATATACGTGATATTATATCTCCGTATCATTCCCGTACCTCTATTCTCCGAGCAAATTGCAAATGATCTCCTTCCCGTTGTAAGAGCTTGGGTCAGTCTGTATACCTCCGGCTGACCCTCACTATGCAGATTCCGTGGTGGCTACTCGTTGCCTTCGGATCCTACTCTTTAGGCAGCCTCGGAATAGGCCTTCTCACATTTCGAGACTGCCCTGATGCTCACAAGGAGCTGCTCATGGTGTGTGATGACTTCACATCGGTCGGACTTCAATCTTAGATGGGGTACACAGGAAGTCAGCGAGGCGAAGAGCGATCTACGTCTGAAAGGCGTAGAGGTCGACTAGTTGAAAGACTGCACTTGGTACGCCTTGGGCATTGGTCTTACCTATGCCTTCTGTCAACCTCGTGCTGGAAAGAGTGCTTGCGTCGAACTCGCGAAAACCAGGCATGTTCTGCTGTCGATTCTGATACCGGTGTACATTCTCATCCTACCAAGTCATACATAACAGCGATAGCAGTTGGCGGGTACTTGTGGGTACTAATATCAGATTTAATTGGGCACAACTGAGGCTGGTTTAAACAATACACTAAACTAGCTTGCGTCTCTTCTACTCAATTAGATCGATGCAGGAAGCCTGTCTTTCTCCATGCTTCCACCCATTTTCCGACTAGCTCATCAGTCGGAGCAGGTGCGGTCCTCAACGACGGGCTGGCAGATTCTGTGGATTTTGTCTCCAAAGGATACCGATGTGCGGTTCCAACGGCGTCGCGGTCATACTTCTCCTCATAGAAAGAAACCAGCTTGATCGTCGGGTTCTTCGCGGGATCCGGATTGGACTGACGCAACAGGTCTACCCATTCTGTCTGAGGAACTCTCTTGAACTGCACGCCGCACTTCTGTAAGCTGTCGAGCACATGTCGCCAGTGAATTGTATGGGGCTGAACAATATGCCAGCAGTGACATGTACCAGGGCCGCCGGGGTCTTGATAGGCGAAGACCAGTTCGACAATGGACCGAGCCGCGAAGTCAACAGTCAGCCAGGAGACATTCTGTCCATCTTGTCAATAAAAGTGTTATTTCCGTGGTGAGAGCACACACTTCATCCAACTCGGGTAACGCATGTATTATTTCGGCACTCTACCCAAGTTGATGAATCAGCTATCCACCTAGAAATGCAATACAGTACCAACCTTGATCATGAGTGAAATAGCCTCTGTTTCGTTCCATATTCCTGTTCGAGAATCACCAACCATTTGGCCAATTCCTGTTTTTGTTCAGCGCAAGGTTGGAAAACAAAAAAGGCGCATACGGAGAACGTCTGCTTGGAGTGCTGTCTTCTCTGAAGCGATGCGGCACAACCTTTCTACCACCCACTTGGAACGAGCGCTTTGAATCGTTCATCAACAAACTGCTACCACGACATGACACCAATATACTCACTAGCCTATGTTCTGAGCAACGTGAGGATCGTCGGTGATATCTTCGGGAACACGAAGGGCCTCAGAGGGACCCAGTAGCGGAGGGTTCGGCCCTTTCCAGGCGAAGACTGCACTGACAGAAGATGAAAAGAAAAATTTAGGTGGGTACTGTTTCGAGCAGTGCAAGGCAAGGTTCATGAGATTCACGGCACCGTTGATGTGTGGCTCGAAGCTAGAGATATTCCAGTTAAAATTCACCGGCCAAGCGTTCTGTGGGGTGCGAAGGTCAGCGTTAACTCCTGGAATGAACGGGATACAACAGACATGAATCACAATAGACACAGAACGAGCAATCTCGTAGTAGCTGTCTTTGTCCAGTCCCAGATTTGGAGCGCCGAAATCGGAAACAGCAAGGCACACAAGTCGATTCTGCGGTTCGTTCAGAGTGAGACCTCTGTCTTTTACACTGTCCAGAACGCGTTTGGCCGCGTCAAGATCGTTTTTCCCTCGGCTCAAACAATACACTTTGATGACATCTGATCGTCTGAGAATTGCCTCTAGAAGCACTGCGCCGAGTGAACCAGTTGCCCCTGTCAGGACCACCTATACAGAAGACCTGAGCTATAACGCGATGTAGCAAGGCTGTCTTACCACGTGATTTTCTACCGAGATATCATGGCTTCCCAGATCAGAAGAATTTCCATTCGTATATGGCTCAGGTGTTGTCAGTAACGTTGAGTACTTCTCGACGAGTTGAAGCACGAATTCCGTAGGATCCGCTTTGACAGCCGTACTGGTACGTCCAGATGAAATATGCCATAGAGACCTCGCCATGCTAACGCAATAAGCCACTTTCAACCAAAATACAACTGGAAAACATACGCGCCAACTGAGGGATGTTCAAACACAAAGTTAGTATGCAAACGTTGACCACCCAAATCAATCTCCTATGTTTCACATGATTTTCAACAGTGGCACAGAGGGATAAGACATGGTCAACACTTACTCTTTGCAGAGCGTTTCGTATTCTGGTCGCCTGGAGCGAGTCCAATCCCAGAGAAACAATATCCATGTTCTCCTCTATCTTAGAATACGATTCCAGTGGGCTGAAAATTTGGGAAACGACCTTCCCAACTAGGTGCTTGGCGTGCTCCTCCCCAGACAACTTCTGTCGAGCGACTCCTTTGTCTTCGTCTCCTTCGAGTTCGCGGTATACCTGGTCAATGATGTGCCGGAACTGGGCATACACCTTTGGTCGCAGGAAGCTACCCTTGTCGGCTTTGGGGAGAGTGGTCTCATAAGGAAGATAGATCAGCGCTTCAGGTGCTAGCTGCGAGTGGCTCGGTGCCTTCGAATTGGCGAGTTTGACAGCTGGGCTGACGAGTTCATAGAGCTCTGCCCGAGCCGCTAACGCAGAAATGTGCTCTGCTAGAATGATGATGGCTCCGATTTGTTCCCGGCCAGCCCCGAACACAACAGCTTCGGAGACATTTCGCGATTGACGTAGCGTGAGTTCGATAGGAGCTCTGAGCCCCAGGAAACATTAACTCTTTCTTTCTTTGATGTAGATAAGGCTCACGGATTGGTTTTTTCGCCATTGACCTTGATAATGCTTTGTGAGCAAGTTGATAAACCTATGTACAGGTCGTACCCACCATGACCAAGGTGTCATCGAGGCGACCCACAAATTTGAAAGCATAAGGAATCGTGGGGTGCTTTCGAAAGAGATCCTTGGTCGAATACGACCCATCAGGCCTGTTGCTCATCACCTGCGGCAAACATTGGGGGAAGGTCTTCCTAGAATAGAGAAAGGCTCGCCTTGGTGGGATATCCGTCCAAGACAACCAATTCAAAGACATCATCACCACGATTTTCGAATTTGATCCAGTTCATAAGGCCCTTCTTCGCCCAGGGCCCATCCCCTCTTAACCAATTCCATCCCTTGTCCGTCTTGAAGTCGCGAAACGAGGTGAAGATCTGTTTTCTTTCATAAGAAAGAGCATCAGTGGTGGATATGAAAGGAATTTAACCTGTCCCATTTCGGCTGTGAAAAGGCCACACCCATGTTAGGAATTGCATACAGACAGTTTGAGTTCTCACGGACTCAGACCATAATGCCCGACAAGGTTCACTCCTTCATCCACAAGCCGCCCGCCGAGTTCGTCTGGACACGCACTGCCTCCAAACATGACTAGCTTGAACGATTTGAGAACATTCATGCCCTCTGGATCCTCCGAAAGAATCTTCAAAACGTATGGGACACCGAACAAAGCCTCCGCGTTGCAGGAGCGCGAAGTTAGCAACTTGCAGATATTCTCGGTCGTCAAAGGGATGAGAGATTGAGGGAAAAGGCAGATTGGGGCGACTCCATGAATTGCTCGGTAGAAACATGAATGTCCATGGTTCTTGTAAGTTGTCAGCAACTCATAGCACAGGACCAACCGGATGAGCTTACATGGTACAAAGGCAGTGTTGTAAAACCTCGTAATCCGAAGTGCTGGGAAAAATTACGAACTGAAGCAATGTGACTCAGAACAATTGGCTTTCACAGAAATCAAGTATAGCTCTAGCATCGGGAAGTTCACTCACCTTGGGAAAGCCAGTACTGCCGCTGGAATGAACGATAAAAGCAGGAAGATGTTCCTCTTCCTCGGGTTTTAATGGGCAGTGAAATGTTGTCTTGCCCGTCTTGTCGCCTTCTTCACGAGCAGCAGCATCGTACACCTCGTCATTAACCTGTCGTATGATGTGCACCGAGTGCGTCGGTGGGTCCTTGGATATCGCTTCTTCTACAACATGTAGGAATGTCGGGTGCGCTATGATGTGGGTTGAGGCTGTTGCTTCAAGAAGATGAGAAACTGCAGCTGATGAATTGTTCACGCTTCCATTGTGTCAGATGCGGATCACGGACACAGTGGTCTTGTCTTACGATATGAAGAGAACACCTTGCGCGCTCGAAAATCAGTACAGTTAGAATCTTCATGGCCGTCAGCGAGTCACGCACAATATCCCATCTTGACCAATGCGAGTTCTTGAATGGCAAAGGACCACCCAGAGTGGCCGAGAAGAGCCACCATCAGTCGGGTATCAGTATCATTGGGAGCCCTCGGCGCTAGGATGCCATTATCCTTGTAATAATTAGCGAGCAAGGAGGCCGCTGCGGAGATATCGCGATAGGTGTACTTGGAATACTACAGTCCACCAGGAACTCAGCGGTATTTCTCCCATTGAAGGAACAGGGCAGACCGACAAGTCCTTGTTCGGGACAGCTAAAATTTCCAAGTCCGGATGCTGCTGAGTACGCAACTCGAGGAGATGATTGATAGAGTGAATCACTTCGCCTTGTGCAGCCATTGCGTGAGCAGCTGTGCAGAGTAAACTGGTTCGAGAGTGCACCAGCAGTCCACCGAGTCAACACTAGAGCCGCGGGGTATATATCCACCATATCTGCCAACCACAAGGTCGGCCCGAGCACCGAACATCGGAGGCGTTGTGTGGCCAGGTGGACTGGACTTCTCCCGGGCCAATTTTTTTATATCCGAAAGAAGCCGACGGTTTGGCGGATCCTCGGTGCAATGATATAGCGCTTCCAAGACGACCACTATGACGACCACCGTCGCTACTTGAGAAGAGCTGAATTCAACACCTGATGATTGTACACTCTCCTCTTCACCATTATGTCTAATATCGTAGGAGCAAAGGCTAGCCAGCGCAACTACCCAGAGCAGGTTCTCATTCCCCGCACCCCTCATTCTAGAGCTGGCTCTTTCAAAGAACATCAGGCAACCGAGCCCCTGCTCCAACACGACGAAGAAACTTCACCGACAGTGATCGGCGGCAATCAATCGGTCTCCCATGTTGCGTGCATACTGCGATACTTTCCTCTGGTCACCGCGCTGTTGTGCGGCATCTTGTTATTCGGTTTGACCATCGTCTCGTATCGACGACCTGAAGTGATCTCCTGGATTACCGGAGACCCTGACTGGGATTTATACAAGGGAGACAATGGAACTTTACCAATTCAACCAGTTCCTGCCATACAAAATCATACAGATCATTCAGCACATCCCGACCATGCAGACTTCGAGCTGGTTATTGACTACTCGAACTATACGAGGTTCCCCTTAACCACCATGGAATACGCGGCTGAGTGTTGGAAACTCAACCAAAAGCCGCATGATCATGGCGATTATTGGGCCCCCGATCACCATGGCGTTCACGATGTGATACATTACGATTCACCAAATATATGTTCAAGCTCGATTACGTACATGCCTGACGGTGAGATTGGCCTGGTTGCCGATCTGGCGTTGATAGCACAGCTAGCTGGGATGGCAAGAGAAGTAGGACCGCGAAGCTCCCTGGAGGCACCTACTGATTTTTTTTCCAGAGAAATCGAACCTTCTTTATTGACGACACCTATTGGAATAGAGGGCGGTAAGCCCATGATTTTTCGGAGAAATACTGCCCTAAAACTGCCCAGCTGGCTCGATTGCTTCGAGGATATTCGTACAACTGAGCCTGGGCCAGAGCCAAATTGTCTTCCTCCCCCATCTGAGGAACTTGTGGCGTGTCCAAGACTAGCAAGGTACCTTTTAATGCATACATATGGCCCGCTTCCCTGAACCAGTATGACAGGCATTGGGTAGTCACTTCGCACACGGCCAAGTTCCATCTAGTCCACGACTTCAACGAGGGGTATGAGGATCCGTGAGCATACCTTGGCATTCAAATTATGCGATTATTAACAGTGGCCAGATACAAACAATCTGTGGGCCGACAGAGACCCATTTTGGAGATGGGACGAAAATCGCTCATGGAAACCATTCGCCCTAAGCAACATATCATAGATCTTATCTATCAAACCAGAAAGACCTTAAGGGAGCACCCATATGTTGGAGTTCACATTCGGCGCGGTGACCAAGCCGCTATGTCGTGGAGATATCACAAGGGTTATGTTCCCACGCATGAATACGTGAACGCGATCGTGACCTTGCTCCCGGATATCAAGACGGTATATATCGCGACTGATGTACTGAGCGCCGTGGCGGAATTCACGGAATTGGCACCGGAAGAATGGAATGTTCACACATTGTCGGCAACGGTTGGCTCTGAAGTGGAGTACCCAGTCGACCGGGAAACAGAGGGTTACTTCCAGAAGCAATGGGAAGAAGACATCCCTAACAAGGAGAGAATAGCTTTGACACGAGGAATGATCGTGGATTTAGCCCTGGTCACTGGCGCATGGGCCGACGACGAGAGCGTTCAGCCTGTTGCCGTGGTGTGCACACTGAGGTACGTTATGTTGGACAACTGCAGTGATATCAAAGATCTGATAGGCGAGTCGCAGTTCGCATGTGTGCAAACTTGCTGCAATGACATTGGGTTGGGAGAGAGCGATGGAGGAGAAACGGTGGGTTGAGATAGATAATCGAGGAGACATTGAGCCTGTATGGAGCGCGTTCCAGCTGTATCATTAGTAGCTCAGAGGATGGGCGCACCTGTGGTAGAGTTTCTCCGGTGATTATCCGTATTTGGCACGAATGAACTTCGACGCGTCGCGCGCATGTGCCATCGTCGCCCACCTCGCCACTTTAGGCGGTCATTCTTGTTCACATACCCCGCGTCGCTCAGCATACCAACTGCCCCTCTTCTTCATCATTCCCTCTCCTGTGCCGACGCACCCCTCTTCTCGGTCATTAGCAATCAGATCTCTCCTAAAAGTCTAGCGTCGCTCTCCCCACACCTTCTCACATCTCGCTTTCTTCACCCAACATGGTACCTGGCAACTACCACATCCTCAAAGTATGACCTGATCTGATATTGTAGCAGAATGCGCACCGCCAAGATCCCGAGGAGCTGTATGTAAAGCAGGATAGGATTGGTACGTAGGGAGACAATTCATCCGTTACGGCGCTTTTACAGCTTGTCAAGGGAAAGGCAGCTTCGGCGAAGTCTTCAAAGGGTATGTGCCAAAATCGCATCCCTCAGTGTACAACGACTCAATTCCAGTGTCCAGATACGATAAGAGAACGCAGAAGACTGTGGCAATTAAGATTATTGATCTTGAGAGTGCGGAGGATGAGATTGAGGATATTCAGCAAGAGATAGCCATTTTGAGCCAGCTGGATTCACCATATGTCACCAAGTGCGTTTCTCTCTCTTCCTCTATATACTTTAAGGTTCTACGTCGACATGAATATGTTGTCAGATATCATGGTTCTTTTTTGAAGGGATCCCACCTCTGGATAGTGATGGAGTGCGTCACAGTCTTACGTCAATCGAATGGCCCTTCTTATATCTTGTTACGTCCAGATACTGCTCGGGTGGCTCATGCTCCGACTTGGTACATGCGTCAAACCTACCTCGTCATTATGACTGACAGTGATATTAGATGAAAGCTGGCACTTTCCGCGAGGAGTACATTGCGATTGTTCTCCGTGAGTTGTTGAGGGGTCTTGAGTATCTGCACCAGGAAGGGAAGCTGCATCGTGACATCAAGGCTGCCAATATACTCCTGAGTGCCACTGGTGACGGTATGTGATGTTGCACTCTCGCCGTGAATAACGGCACTAATGATTGGTTATAGTGAAGCTGGCTGACTTCGGAGTGTCTGGGCAACTCAGCGGCACACTATCATCGAAGAAGAACACTTTCGTTGGTACGCCATACTGGATGAGCCCGGAAGTTATCAAACAATCAGGCTATGATTCCAAGGCAGATATTTGGAGTCTGGGAATCACCGCAATAGAGCTGGCCAAGGGGAATCCACCGTACTCCGAGCTTCATCCCATGAAAGTTCTCTTTCTCATCCCAAAGAATCCGCCGCCACAATTGGACGTGAGCTTCTCGAAGCCATTCCGAGACTTTGTCAATCTCTGCCTACAGCGAGATCCCAAAGATGTGGGTGAAAAATGATTCTCAATTCAACATCCAACTCATTCGAGAGCCAGCGACCACATGCAAAGGAGCTTCTGAAACATAAATTTATCCGTTCGGCAAGGAAAACCGCATATCTCACTGAACTCATCGATAAGCACCAGCAATGGAAATCTTCGGGCGGCGGAGAAGCAGAAGATGATGCTGCGGAAACAGCGGACGATTAGTACGTTCTCAGACAATTGATGTATGGGTATTCCTGATCTATGTATTCTAGTGCTGTCAGGCCAGAAGAAGAGGAGGACCTATGGGACTTCGGCACGGTACGGCAACCACAGGGGCAACCAGCCCCGCGCAATACTAGGATTGCCACACAGACCTCAGAGAATGGGCACCCCAATGGCGGTCTTCGACACGCTACTTCGGCTCGTAATCTTCGTGACAATGAGAATCGACCATCTATATCACCGTCCGTCGTATCTGGCCAGGAAACCCTCCGACAGAATACTGCACCCCCGCCAAAACCGCCTACCTCTGCCCCGGAATATGATTCAGATGATTCAGACGAAGAAGTCTACGAACATGCTTCAAATGGAGAGGAATCAGACCCAGATGGTCTTATGTTGGACACCGTTGTCTTACCGGCCATGGCCACCGTGCGTGACACTGACGATCTATCGCTTGTCGCTAATGATTGAATTAGCTGTTTCCTCGAATTTCCAATGACGAGGGTCGGCGTGCACTTGTCAAACTGCAAGACGCCTTCATTGAAGCTGAAAGGACAATTCCAGGGTTGACATTTGAGCTAATTGGGGAGATCACACGATCCATAAATCAGCAATAGGCTAGACTTGGCGAGGATGCGTATAGTCGTATTTATTTGCCTGGCGTCATTCGGGACCATGTAGGGTGGATCGGGACCAATGAATGTATTAATATCAACCTTTCTTCTCTTTATACAACGCAGATGCTCTATTATTACACTAGAACCTATATCAATGCTAATCTGACAGAACGAGCGGTCAAGTAGCGTCGGCAGTCTTCTTTTTCTTCTTCGTTCCCTGATACGCCAATAAGAATCGACTGGTGGTTCTGACTCACGACAAGTGCTCACCTTCTTCACTCGGCTCACTCGAATGGGTTCCGGGGTTGACACCCCTTCTTCTGGTACCTCATAGGCAGGAAGGGACGCAACGGTCGCTGCTGGAAACGGTTGAGGGGATAATATATCGGTGGGTGGTTGCGTCGTCTCCTGTGTAACGGCTGCCTGAACGCCCGGGGGCATTTCACCCTGTATGTCGATCAGAGGTGCCGCCGGTGCCTCACCCTGCCCGTTCGAGGACTTCAGAACTATGGCTGGCGGTGGCGTAGAGTAGAGTGCGGATGATATAGAAAGCCGTGCATCATCAAGCTGCAAACGAACAACGGGTATTAAGTCGACGTCTTCAGTTGGAGCTTTGCGGGAAGAACCACTTGGAGTGCTGGTTGGTATGTAGAATGGATCATCTTTGAGGCGTTCCAAACGAGCAAGCCGTCTCTGGGGACCTGTTAGAGAGAATCTGAAAGTCAGGTATACCAATGGCTGCTCACTTGTTCGCGTTCTAGACGTTCTTCCTCAGTTTCTGCTTTTCGTACATCCGCCGAAGCCACCTTCTTCTTTCCTTTCCGCTTTTTAACAGTCTTTGTAGTCATCATGTGTTCAGTTACAGCCTCTTCGACTTCGCCATCCCATGTGTCGTGGTCCTCCTTCTCAGGTGGCACTATCCATTCGTTCAACCGCAAGCCTTCGGGGATGAGAACGCTGGCCTGGGCTTGGGGTGCAACAGCATTGAGCTCAAAGGCTGAGAATAACGGCCGAACAAGAAATAAGGACTTCGGATAGGCAGGCGTGCCGGGAGCTACCGTTTCCCCGTCTGTTCGCTTGTATGATGACAGGTCGGCACGAACGAAGGTAAACAGTTGAAAAGCGTTTGCTGCCTTAAAGGGTGTCAGCACATATCGGCACATTATTTTGCGAACGATTAATACCCTTTCCTGCACTTCAATATCTCGGCTGGAGACAAATGGCTTCACACCTTCTGCGATCATGTCAACGACACGGTTTAGTTCTATTGAGTCGCTAACATCCCATCGAACCGCAAGATCAGCTGCCCAGGATCCGTACACCTTGAGGGTGCTATGGAGATACAGAGCTAGAATATTGAACGGCAAGGAGGAGATGAGCGGTCTCGTGAGATAATAGAGGATAACTTTGCGATCGGATGATTCGCTGTGGAATGTTCAGGGCTCGTCGGTCGTAATACTGACAATAGCACATACCTGCAATATTCCCCGCATATCCAAGCCGCTGCCCCAAGTACCTCTGGGCAACTTTCACCCTCGTTGGCCCGCAGGATGAGATTCTCGTCACCAAGCAGTTTGGTCATCAACTCGACTGCAAAGCGACGGGATAATTGGACGCGAACAGTTACACCCACCAACTGGCGGGCAATCTCTGCTCCGACTCCTGGTGCATTGGATACGTATGTGAGATCCGCAAGCACAGATAAATACCAGTTGAAGTCGGTGACTAGCTTGTACATCTCGCGCGAGCCAAGAGACAGGATGAGCCGAGTCAGGTGTACTCGGTAAGCCGGAGACATGCTGGGAGACGCCATGGAAGCCATCGGAGTACATGATTGCACCGCCGTCAATGCAGAGGTCGCTGAGGAGAGAGGGGCAGATGTGGGCACGAGATGCGCAAGCAGACGTGCAACGAGGGACTGCAGATTATCTTGTGTTGCCTGATAAGCGATTAATTCTCGGGAAAGTAATCTTAAACAACAGCATACCATAGCAGAAACGAGATCTAAAGCTCGCATGCGTATGCTGATATCAGGCTCCTCTATACTGGACATGATCATCTCCTCATACGCAGCCACCATGTAGGGATGGGTAGGCACAAGCTTGAGTAAAGCGAGGAGTGCAATGTATCGTACTGAAATGAGACTGTCAGCCGAGTTCAAGCTGCGTGTCGAGCACCCGACTCACAGTTTTGGTCCTCATTTTGAAGGAATCCCGACAACTTGTCCACACATGCCCGCGCTAAGGCGTGGCCAGATGGGCCGGAAAGCATTCCGCCTGTAATGCAAGTACGGACGCATTCGTATAGCAGAGAGATGGCACTGGTAGTAGAGATCAGGTCTGACATTGGCGCTTGAAGCTTCTTGACTAATCGAGGTTCCATCGGGGCAAGGGCCGCAAACTACATGTTGTCAGTAAAGTCCGGACGCGACTATACAGCATCACTCACTAATTTCATCGTTTTGATGAGAACCCAATTATTTGAGGACGTGGTTAGAATATGGAACAACTGAGGCGCAAGATTTAGGTATGCTGCTGGGTTGTTTCTGGCCAATTCCGTTATGACATTGACAGTGGCAACCACGACCCCAGGATCTGGATCTTCCAACATCAACCTCAGTCTAGTGAATGCGGCAGGCAGAATTTCAGGATGCTGAGTGCAAGCATTAAAGACAGTTACGACAGCTCGCTTTCGGATGTGAGCTCGGGAATGCGTGAGGAGTGTAACGAGGTCGTGCGCTAAGTCGCGTGCTAGGTCCGAGGTCATGATATGTGACAGCGTGTTCAGACTGAGTGACAACTCCACGGGTGGAGCCGACATTTCCTGCGGTATATAATGAATAACGGAAATATATGCACAAGGATGAAAAATAGCGCACCTTCTTGAGCAGGTTGGTTGTGAGCATCAGTACGTCCGTCTTCGGCGTGAACGACTGGCATGCGGCGAGGTGGCCAATGTTCTTGAGATAGTACCGTGGCGAAGACATTACCTCTACAACGTAAAAGCTCGCCCATGACATATCGTATCCAAGCATATTCAACTAAAAAGATATAATCAGAATCATGGCCAGGTGCCCTCCGGATATATGCGCACATAGGTGAGCTTCAATACGGCCCCTGCCTTGAGTTGCATGTCCTTCCCCTTAATTTCCACGCGAATTTCATCGATGGCCTTCTGGACGAATTTATTCTCATCGCCCTTGTTAGCACGCAGGCCTCTTATGAGGTCCTGTAGTGTGCGTTCCCACATGGTAGTTTGTGGACTGGCTAGAGAAGCCCACGGTAGCTCACAAGATGGAATGGCCTATGTGGCTGTGCACCCGCTTCGGTGTCGTGGCTCGCGTCTGCCTCGAAATCCTAAACGCATACATCTTGCTCTCTCCTCATACGAATCTTTATCCAACATGGCCAATCCTGATGCGACCTGCTGGACAGTCGTGTTCGATGACGCGCAGGAGTTGCCCACGACGGCAGAACTCAGACAGGCTCTTGAGAAGGGCTCGGATGATGTGAAGCTCGAAACTCTCAGACGGATCATCATCGCGACACAAAACGGTCAACCGCAAGTAAGAGGCACAGTGCGGCCGATATGCCTAAAGCTGATCATGTCACATAGCCAGCCCTCCTTATGCCAATTATTCAATATGTTCTTCCCTCCAAGAACAAGGCGCTTAAGAAGCTCCTGCACTTCTACTGGGAGGTCTGCCCAAAATACGACGACAACGGGAAGCTGAAGCAGGAGATGATCCTTGTCTGGTAAGTCCTGTTGCCATCTACATTGAATAGGACTCATAGATGCAGCAATGCCATCCGAAACGATCTCCAGCATCCTAACGAATACGTTCGAGGAGCAACGTTACGATTCCTGCAGAAGTTGACAGATGCCGAACTGCTAGAACCGCTTGTGCCGACCGCGCGTGCGTGCTTGGAGCATCGGCATTCATACGTCCGCAAAAACGCAGTTTTTGCCATCTTAACCATTCATCGCAACTTCGAGCATCTCGTGCCGGATGCACCGGAGCTAGTGCAGACGTTCCTGGCGGCGGAGTCTGACATGACCTGCAAAAGAAATGCCTTCGTCTGTCTTTCTCAACTGGCACCCGAAAAGGCAGCGGAATACCTCCTGAGTGTTCTAGATCAAGTTCCAAACTTTGACGAACTCCTGCAGCTCAGTGTTATCGATTTCATTCGTCGCGAAACGAAGGACTCAGATCCGTCACGTCGTGCTCGGTACATTCGCTGCATCCTCGAACTTCTGAACGCGACGAGCCACTCTGTGAAATACGAGGCAGCCACTGGCCTTACATCCCTCACCCAGAACCCGGCTGCCGTCAAGGCTGCCGCATCCTGCTTGATTGAGCTGGCCGTGAAGGAGTCAGACAACAACGTGAAGCTAATTGTGCTCGATCGCTTGGAGACACTTCGCGCCAAGCACGAACATGTCTTGGATTCTCTTGTGATGGATATGCTTCGCATTCTGTCGAGTCCGGACATGGAAGTTCGGCGGAAGGCAATTGGAATTGCTCTCGCAATGATAACAAGCCGGAACGTCGAGGATGTTGTATTGTTCCTGAAGAAGCAGCTGTCTCGCACCTTGGACAACGAGTTTGAGAAGGTCAGACTATCGTCTTCAGGCTCAGAGATTGCTATTGACCATGCCCTTCTAGAACGCGGAGTATCGCCAACTCCTTATCCAGTCGATCCATGTTTGCGCCATACGCTTTTCCGAGGTCGCTGCCAATGTCGTCCACAGCCTCATGGAATTCCTCGGTGATGCCAGCAACTCATCTGCCATCGATGTTATTGCGTTTGTCCGCGAAGTCGTAGAAAAATTCCCCGGATTGCGCAAGAGTATCGTCGAGAAGCTCATGCAGACCTTCGGAGAGATCAAATCGGGCAAGGTTTTCCGAGGCGCTCTCTGGATCGCCGGCGAATATGCCTCGGACACTGACGGTGAGAATCCTCCATTCTTTTGGTTTGACCACCGTACTGACGCTCTTGTGAGACATTTTGGAGGCGTTCCAAGAGATTCGCAAAGTCCTAGGCGAAATTCCCATTCTTGCTTCCGAGCAGCGCCTACTGGACGAGGCGGGTGGAGATGAGGAGGCCGGACAGAGTCTCGATGGAACTGCCGCCCCGCACAAGCCACGACTATTACCGGACGGTACCTACGCTACCGAGACCGCCTTCTCCACTACTGCCGCACAAGCTAGGCTGGAGGCTGTTAAGGCAGCTGCAAAGCCACCTCTACGTGCCTTGATCTTAGGCGGTGATTTCTACACAGGAGTGGTTCTTGCTACCACCCTGACTAAATTGGTCATGCGTTTCTCCGAGTTGGCAAAGGACAAGAAAAAGGTCAACGTTCTGCGTGCCGAAGTAAGCGCTCCACTTCAGTACAATGTTGTTGTTGACGCTGAGGCAGGCCATGTTAATCATGACCTCGGTTGTTCGGGTTGGACAGTCCAAGTTTTCGGCTGTTCCTATCGACGAAGACTCCCAGGAACGGATACTAAATTGCGTCGAGACATTGGCACAACTGGCCAATGAGCCCGTCGTGAAAGAAATTTTCCTGACGGAAACTAAAGCTGTTTATGCCAAGATGGTCGCCACTGAGGAGGTCGGGCTTTTAGTATAATGCGCTGCCTTGAGTTGACACTGTGCCATAGCGGAAGGCTGCTGAGAAGAAAGCCAAAGAGACGAAGGCGTCTGCTATCCAAGCCGACGATCTGATCACGTTCCGCCAATTCTCCAAGAAGTCTGCCCTGGATGGTGTCGATGATGTAAGTGGTTATTCGCTGCCATCGTCAGAGCAGTTCAAATGTTGTGTAGTACGAGCAGGACGTTACGCGTGCTACGGGCTCGGCCGAGACGTCTGAAGATCTCATCTCCGACCTAAGCCGTGTTGTGCAATTAACAGGATTTTCTGATCCAGTTTACGCCGAAGCACTGATCAAGGTCCACGGCTTCGACATTCTGCTCGACGTCCTCATCGTCAACCAGTCGAGCGATACTCTGCAGAACATGTGTGTAGAGTTTGCAACGCTGGGCGATCTCAAGCTCGTGGAGCGGCCAACAACACATACAGTGGGTCCTCACAGTTTCCTGAGCGTCAAAGCGACTATCAAGGTGTCGTCGACGGAGACCGGTGTGATCTTTGGAAATATCATCTGGGAGGCGGGTACAAATGAGGCATGCGTGGTACTGAATGATATCCACATCGATATCATGGACTACATCAAGCCAGCGTACTGCAGCGAAACACAATTCCGCAGCATGTGGACCGAGTTTGAGTGGGAGAACAGGGTGAATGTCAACACCACGATCACGTGCGCACCATGAGTTCCTTCTATGACTCCATCAGCTAATCCCTTTCCACAGCGATCTCCGGGCATATCTGGCCCATATAATGAAATCTACAAATATGGCGTGTTTAACACCTGAGGCGGCGCTGTCTGGCGACTGCGACTTCTTATCGGCGAACATGTACGCTCGGAGTCTGTTTGGTAAGCTAGCTCCTGCGTCACAATTGCTATTATCACTGACCACACCCTTTCAGGCGAAGACGCGCTCGCCAATTTGAGCATCGAGAAGGTCGAGAGCACAGGGATCATCCAAGGCCACGTACGGATACGGAGCAAGACGCAGGGCATCGCTTTGTCCTTAGGTGACAAGATAACTCTTGCACAAAAAGCCATTCCGGTAGCATAGATCGTTTTCATTATTTGTATACCCCCTTTCATATGTAACTTACCGCTGAATTTTGGCGGCAGGTGCTGGGTGAGGCGAGACACAGGTGTGCGCTTTCGCAACTGCCTGAATTAGGGGGTTGTGGCTACTTTTGCTACGGAAGAGAGATCACCGGTCAACTTCGCCAAACACCAAATCCATTGTTCCGATGATGGTGACGGCATCCGCGAGATTGTGTCCCCGCATCATGAAGTCTGCGCCTGCCAAATGGGCAAACCCAGGGGCACGAATCTTGCACCTGTATGGCCGGTTGCTGCCGTCGGAGACGAGGTAGACGGCCATCTCTCCTTTTGGGGCCTCGATAGCGCTGTAGGTCTCTCCTGGGGGGACGCTGTACCCTTCTGAGAAGAGTTTGAAGTGGTGAATGAGAGATTCCATGCTTTCTTTCATCATCGCCCTTGGGGGGTTGGAGATCTTGTGATCGTCAACCTTGATGACCCCTGTGGGCATCTTATTGAGACACTGGGGAGAGTGAGATGAAGCCACACCAAGCTGGGGAACGCCGCATCACGCACCTGGCCGACGATTCTCAAGCTCTCGCGCATCTCCTGCACGCGGCACAAGTACCGGTCATATGAATCACCGTTCTTTCCAACAGGGACATCAAACTCAACCTGGTCGTAACATTCGTACGGCTGGACTTTTCTGAGATCCCAGGCGATCCCGCTCCCGCGGAGCATCACACCCGAGAAAGAGTAGTCCAACGCCTCCTGAGCGGTAACCGGCCCGATGCCGATCGTGCGGACCTTCCAGATACGGTTGGCAGTGAGGACTTCCTCAAACTCATCCACCCTGCTGGAGAATTGCGTTGCCCACTTGAAGATGTCCTCGAGCAGACCATTGGGAAGGTCGAAAGACACACCCCCAGGCCTAACGTAGTTGGCATGCATACGCGCGCCAGAAACACGTTCGTAGAACTCCATGAGCTTCTCGCGCTCCTCGAAACCCCAGAGGAAGGGAGTAAGGGCACCAACGTCCATAGCATGCGTGAGAACGGCCATGAGATGGTTGAGGATCCTCGTGATCTCGCCAAAGAGTGTGCGGATCCATTTGGCGCGGATAGGGACGTCGATGTTGAGCAACTTCTCGACCGCGAGGGCAAAACATTGTTCATTGGTCACTGGGTGTGTCTCAGGCGTGAAACAGGAACGTGGAATGTAAATAGACGCACTCATTGAAACATAGTCTAGCCGATCGAAGTACGGCGCAGCCTGGGTGTATGTCTTGTACTCGATAAGCTTCTCAGTCGCTCGATGGAGCAAGCCAATGTGCTGCGTATCGATGAGCATCACCCTCCCCAGCGAACAGAGAACGAACCGGGTCAGCCCTCAAGATCTGCTCTCCGTTGAGCTCCAAAATAAGCCTCAACACACCGTGGGCGGCGGGATGCTGAGGACCAAAGTTGACGGTGAAGTGCTTCAGACTGGCATCTTGACGTGAACCACTTCCCTCGGCGAGGATGTCTTGAGCTGAGAGATGGTGTATATCTTCGACTGCGATGGTCTTAACGGGGATGGGGTCGGCGTGTCGACAAGAGGAGGTAGAGAGAGAACGGAGGGGAGAGCGCAAGAAACGCTGGTTGGCCAACGGCCGGAGTCGAGGCAGCATGGGTGCCGCTTTGAGGGAGAAAGGGACGGATACGGGAGAGTGAGGCAAGTGACAAGAGAGTGACCATCGAGTGGCTGTGTTATTACATCAACGCTGATTGGTCAATTGCTGTTAGTGCAGAGTATATGCATACAACAGTCTCTTCATTGATATTGTACAAACATATCCTTCTGCACGGTATCACCGCTTCTTCAAAGCCGCAAACCTCTTAGAAAGCGCCTCAAACTCATCCTCCTGATCCTTCTCCTTCGCCGGACTGCTCGGCTTGAACTGCACCGCAGGCTTGCTCGTATTCTCCACAGGCACGCTTGGGAGTGGGTTGGGGTCACGCTCAGCAGGCAAAGGAGGCTCAAGCTGTTCTTCAATCTCTTGCTCGTCCTTACTCTCCTTCTCCTCTCTCACACCTCCCTCTCCACCCCCTCCGCCAGGAGGCGTCCAATTCAGCCCGTAGCCCTTAGCGATCTCTCCAAGATACGCATCCACCAGTTCTCTCGGTGGCATCCCCAAGCCCAGCTTGCTTGTCACCCGTGCGGGAACGCACAAGTCTCGGTTCTCCATCACCCCCAAAGAATACTCGCGTCCGTATTTGTGGGTCAGCAGCTCGCGTAGGACATGCAGCTCTTTCACTTCTGTTCGAGCGGCAGCGTGGATGACCGAATTGACAGCTTCTGCAATTCCCGGGTCAGGTTCTCTCGCTCTACACGCGTGTCAGCCCTTGCCTAACCCGGACGAACAACGTACAATACATCGAGCATGCCGAACCTCGCAATGAGCAGCTCACAATAGAGCTCAAGCAGTTCCAGCAACTCAAGATAGACATCCTCGTGGATCAGACTCTCTACTTTGATCCGTGCAGTCTCGAGCTTGTCACGCTCGATGAGGGTGGCGATATCTCTCCTGTTAGACTTTTGAAGTGCGGTGAGCTTCTCTTGCGTTGTGCGAAGACGCTGGACGGCTAGTCTGAGGGTGATCAGTTGTGATGGACTAGTTAGAGAGTATAGTTACCTTAGTTGTACCTGGTTGAGAGTGAGATGCTGTATACAGATGATAATGAATAACTTACCTTTGCCCTAGGTGAATTCCATAATACGGCCATAGTGGTGAAAGGAGTGCATTGCGTATCATCGATGATTCTAAGGGGGACAATCTTAGTGGCGGTGTTGTATAAGGAGTAAACCCTAACCTCAACCCTTTGTTGACATTCCCTTTTCCTCCTCTCGAGCATGGACTCACGCAAGGACCATACAGACACTCTCCCTCCTTTCTCTCCTCCCATCAACATCATCCCACTTGGTACAAATACACTACCCTACGACCCCTTCATCCCCCCTCCAGCACAGCCCAACGCTCGCTACCTCACCGCGCTCTCCTCCCTCTGGCCTATCGCTAAACAAGTGATTAAGATAGCAAAGGACACGCCGGTTCTCGAAGACGGCAGTATTGATCTAGAGAGCTCGACTGCAGAGAGCTGGGAAGAGTTCGGGAGGATCTTGCTGCGTGAGTCTTCATGTTTTAGACGCGCCAAACCTCCTGACTCTTGGTAGACAACAAAGATGGCTTCTACCCCCTGCACAAGCTAGACCGAGAACTCTACTTCCTCGCTCTCCCATCTCCAGAGCTCAGCGAAGAACGTTACACCGCAGCGCGTCAGATTAACGTTGCCCTCCTCTTCGCACTGCTCTTCCCCACCGAGGCAACCCAGCTCAATTCCTACGCTCAATGGGTCACATTCCTCTCACAGCTCAAGGAGACTTACCTCCTCCTATGCGCCGGACGGGGTAAGGCTGAGCTCCTCTGGGTAAACCTCGAACGTATCTCCGACATTTGTATTACCGTGCGTCCTTCTCTCACTCTTCACGCATCAGCTCACCCTACCTAGTTATGCCTCGCGCTCGAAGCACTCGACAGCAAATCCTCCGGCCTGAACGCCTTCCGTCTGGTATTCAACCATTCCCACCTTCGTCACCCGCAACTCGTGTCCGGGTCTAAACCAGTCATCCCACCCTCCGACCTCCCACGGTTCGAGAGCACATGGACGACGCGTGCCCTGCAGGACCTGCGGAAGTTCGCAAAGCGCCCGCCTAAACTGGAAGACGCGATCTCCACCTTGCGCACGGGGCTGTTGAAGGATATCCTGAATGAAGTCCTTCCCGTGCTCGGGAACTATGCGGCAGCATCAGCGACGCCTTTCCCCACGCCTTCCAAACCTATCCCTGCTGCAAAACCCAAGCGTACCGTCCCATCGGACTTTGCGTGGAACGCAAAGCAGACCGATGCCGTCCGGCTGGAGGAAAGCTCCTCTTTTGCAGAAGTAGTGATAGAGCTTGAGGAGCCTGTCAAGTCCAAGCGCGGAAGGAAGGGCGTGAAGGGCAAGGGCCGGCCGAGGAAGGGTACCAGAGGCAGGTCGGGGAGCATCGCTGGTATAGAGACAGAGACGGAGCAAGAACCGGAGCTGGAGCAAGAGCAGGAAGAGGAGGTCGACCTCATCGTTGTCGAACCTCCTGCTCCCACAATACCCACCATCCCCGAAGAAGCGGACGACGATGAGAGCCTGCCGGACGTAGATCAAATCATCGCCGAGACCCAGCTGGAAGTAGAGGCGGAGGCGACCATCGTCCTTACTACCCAGCCGCTCGCTCTGAACGGTAAGAAACGCGCTGGGGAAGAGTCCAGGTCTCCTACACCTCGGCCTGCTAAGAAACAGGCTGTCTTGGAGCCGCAAGCTGCAAGACCTGCCACACAGTTGCCCACCCCAGAGCCTTTCTTCCAGGAGAGGCCAGCTGCAGCTACAAGCTCATCACCCGCACCTACGGAAACGCCCCGGGAGAGTGCCCGACCGCCGGCCTCTGCCCATCAGGAGGATGACGACGAAGTTCCTGAGGAGGAAGTAGAGCAAGAAGAAGAAATCGACCAACTTCGATATTCTGTCCCCGTTCCCACTCCTCACAAGCAGCTCTCCGAACCTAGTTCGTCCAAAAAGGCGCACACCCCGCCGCCAAAGGGAGGCAAGCAGTCTAAACGCCAACCGACGCCTCCTGTCCAGGCATCGGGAAAAAAGAGCAGCCGCTATGCCACAGGCGGGAACGAGACTGGTCGCAAGGTTTGGAGTACCGTCGAGGATAACGCGCTTATGAGCGCTCTTCGGGAACTGCACGAGGGGTCGCACACATCTATGAAGTGGAAGACGATCCTCGATTGGCATGGGTCGGACGGCAGTAAGTCCACCATTCTGAAAGGCCGCAATAACGCCCAGGTCAAGGATCGTGCGAGGAATCTATACCTCAAGTTCCAGAGGAATGGGCAGGTTCCGCCTGTGTGGCTCCCCGAAAGGTGAGGAGAAGAACCGCGCCTGAAATGTATATAATACTTAATTCTTCTTGTTGTATTTGTTATGACTATTTTCGGGTAATGGCACGTCGTTGAGGAGTGGAAGAGTCTCAACAAAAACAATCAGTTATCAAGAAGTTTGTATGATATGGTATCTGATGGGACTACAAATTCAGACACAGAGCTCGCAAGGTTTTCTCATATGTTCGATGTTCTTTCTGATTGCACCAGCTCATCATCACACTCGCTTTGACTGCGCAGCCTATTTTCAAGGTCAGATATCACATCTGGGCAAAGCGCAATTGCTTACAATCATCTCCAGGATTTGTTGCATGGCAGTTGGGTTCGTGGTTGGCAGGTTCGCGGAGGCCGGTGGTTGAGAATACGACGGTGCTCCGTACGGATTAGGTGCGGCTGCGGCCGGCGGTTGATAGACTGGCTGGCCTGGTTGCCCGAAAGCATTTGCCTGGTGTAGCAAAGCGAGCACGCTGGGAGGCAAAGACGCAGCGATGGTGGCAGCGTTAGGTATGAGCTGAGGTCCCGGGGCCGCAGGAACTGGATAACTAGGCACAGCCGACTGGGGCTGAGGAGGCATGTAGGGATTTAGGGGAGGGGCACCGTAGTAGGCAGGCTGTTGAGGAGGCGGAGGAGGTTGCGCAGCACGTGTCGGTGATTGAGTTTGAGCAGTAGTTGGAGGCTTGAGTGCCTGCAGCAGTTCTTGCACCTTCTTCGCGGCTTCGAGACGGTCAGACTCAGGCTGCCCAATTGCTCCTGCCGCGCGGGGAGCACGATAGGGATCTGAATACCTAAAATCAGTGTGAACATTCTTGAAACGGCAGCAGAAAGCGGACCTTCAGGATATCTGTCTTCCTGCCTTCCGCTGTTCCGCCTAGGTTCGAAGTCATCGTGTCCTCGAGAGTCACGACGCGAGCGACGGTCGTCCCTATCATCATAACCGCCTCCGCCACGCCCGCGCCCACGGCCACGGCCTCTTCCTCCGCCACCACCCCGAGGAGCAGAGTCGCGATAGTCGTCTTCATATCCTCTGGGTTCGCGCTCTCTGCTGGGTTCGGGCCTACGAGGTAACGGCTGCGTAGGAGTGGGAGGTGCGGGCAGCGGCGTATCGGGAATGTCCCACGCCCAATCAAGCTCCATGTACCCATCTTGAAGGGGAGCATGGTTCATCGTATCGATTATCTGCTCAGTGGCTCGCATGTCGTACAACTCTACGACAACCGCACTGAAATACATGTCAGCAAGAAACAATACGAGTGAACAGGATACTGACTCTCGCGCACTACCGACTGCACGTACAGATTTCACGTCCCCATGCTGTGTAAAGATGCGCCTGACTTCACCTTGGTTGATGGGTTGACGATTGGAAGAATCTCGCAGCGTGACTTGCACAGAACCCTGTAGCGGCATGTGAATCTCAAAGAATGCTTCGGGAAAGGATGGTGCGAACCTGATTCTTCTCTCGATCGCATCTGGAGTTGGTCTCATTTTCGCGAGGCAGACTGTAATGAACATCAATCTGAAGAGCACGTTTCAACCAGGGGCATTCAAGGACAGGCGAGAACGACATACAGGTCGGCCGGCAATATCTGTTCCTTGTAGCCTATCACGGGCCCTTTCCGCAGCACGAAGATCATACTATTCCACATCAGTGGCGCGGCATTGCCTTTTTCAAATCGCTTACGAAGGTCACAAACACCATTCCTCGATTTGAGATCAGATCAAAGAATGTCCTGATCTCCCCGAACTCCTCAAAACGGGCTCGGATTGCCTCGCCGTTACTTTCGTACTGTATGAAAAAAAGGTAATAAGGAAATGTGTGCTTATTGAGAGCAGCTGTCTTGTGGTGACTCGCCTTAATATTTCGGATGAAGAGGGTCCTGCATGGCCTCTCTCGTTGAATACGCTCTTCGATCAGGTTCTCATTTACCTCACGCTCACGCCGAGGAGGCGGTGGGGCGCGGCGACGTGACGGATCTACCAAATAGAAGAGAAGATTGATGAGTATCCTGTGGCTTCGAGTGAAATCAAATATGAGATAGGTAAGGAAGCCGCCTGAAAGAAAAAGAGAATTTTTTTGAAACGCTGCTTCGATGCCAATTGCAGAAATTGTATCCTCAAGATACAGGCTGCAGTGCATGGTGCTTTCGATCGTCGACAACTGAGAGTCAGGCTCGGTAAAGGTGGTGGTCGGACATTGCCCAGCTTCTTTGGTCACCTTACGCTTAGACGACTTAGCTTCGTGATCCATCATTCGCCTTGCAACGATTCGAGAAAAACTGGGTTCCGCGGTTGGGGACACACGCCTCAAGGTCCACAAAGGGAGCAAAGAAATTAGAACGATTCAAACTTATTGCTCACCATCATAGTCGCCGGTGCCGTACTCATCGCGATAGTAGTCATCCTGAGGTGGTGCTGGAGGGTAATACGGATCCATTGCCGCATCGTCATACTGCGGATATGCGGACTGTGGAGGACCCCCTCCACCACCACGTCCGCCACGACCCCTATTCCTTCCACGTCCACCACGTCCTCGGCGGTCATTCCCGCCGTGATCGTTGTAGCCTCTTTCATTCCCACCATAGCCTCCACGGTTGTCAGGTCCACCGTACCGTGGAGGGGGGGATGGCCGGCGCATAGGCACAGCGTGCTCGTCGTAACCAGAGTAGGGACCGCGTAGCATGAGCACGATCAACTATTATCTTGACTTCAGAGGCTCCTTAATTAACCTTGCGAATCTGGTATTCGAGGGTGGATTTACTTCAGGGGACCTTGCAGGCGCTTAAAGATTTCAGCTTTCCAATGCCTTAGAGACAGGTTCGTGGGTGTGTTCTGTGAAAGGTATCGCGTCTTGGAAGATTTTCCAATTGCTCAAACTCAGTGTAGGGCTTAAGCTAGCTAGACAGGAGGTCGACCTTGTTCGAATATGCACAGTCAGACGGCGGACGCTCGAAAGAAGACACTAGAGCACAGGCAGATAAGGACCAAAGACGGGTATCAGACAACCTGAGATGGTGGTTAGAGACTGAGCTGTCGAGTTTTCCGTTCGACGTTCTGTAACGGATTCAATTATGAAGAAATGATTCCGCTGTTCCGGGGGTCCGCGGTGTGGCGTGCAAGGCACAGCGCAGTCCAGAGTGAACCATGCGTTGCCTTGTAGCTCCTCATCCCCCTTCCTCATCGTCATCATCGTCCACTACCGTTGTTCAACCTTTTGTTCTTTGCTTTCGGCATAACACCAACACATCTCTTACCATAGAAATATCGCACCCGGAGCATGTCAAAGCAGTTCCAATTCAAGCTTGTCCTGCTCGGTGCGTCCCATTGATGGGCGAAAGCCGAAGTAGACGCTGATCGACTGCATCATTTCAGGAGAATCAGCTGTGGGCAAGTCTAGGTCCGCTTCGATGGTTTATGGGAAAAGAAATGAAGAACTGATTCAAGCCGTAGTCTCGTCCTTCGGTTTGTGAAGGACCAGTTTGACGACTATCGGGAGAGTACGATCGGAGGTGCGTCCGATCTATCTGTCATTGGGAACGCCGGCTGACTCCTGTTTTCGTAGCTGCTTTTCTGACACAGACTGTTCAATTGGAGGATGGTACAACAGTCAAGTTTGAGATATGGTACGCCAGCGGATTCGCATCAACACACGGGGCTTATCGTCTGATAGGGATACTGCTGGACAGGAGAGGTACAAGTCATTAGCACCTATGTACTACCGCAGTGCTGCCTGCGCTATTTGCGTGTGTGTCTCGGCTTGCTATTTCGTTTTATTGCATACACTGACGGATATGGTCTCAACTAGCTATGATATCACCCAATCTGTGCGCACACCTCTTCCCTCAGCATACAAGCACTGACGTCCCCCAGGCATCCCTCGAGAAGGCAAAGTCCTGGATCCGTGAACTCCAACGGCAAGCCGATCCATCAATCGTCATCGCACTATGCGGGAACAAGTCCGACCTGGCTGCACGACGTCAAGTATCTCAGGAAGAAGCGCAGAAGTTCGCCGAAGAGGAAGGTCTGATGTGGTGTGAGACGAGCGCGAAGACGGGCGAGGGCGTGAACGAGATCTTCGACCGTATCGGTAAGGCTTCTGTGTCCCTCTGTTGTTCATCAGATTCTGATATTGCTTTCAGCACATAAACTCCCCGAGGTTGCACCTCTCCAAGCTCAGCGTGGCACAGCAGCAGCAAAGCCAGCAGGAGCCAGGAGCGTAGATCTGAACAAAGGCCCTGCAGGACCCGGTACTCCAGAGAGCTGCAATTGCTGAACAGTCTACTTCCTGGTGCTCCCTTTGCCGGTCCCCTCGGTCATCATCTCCATTCACTCGCTGATTGTACATTGTCCGTTTTCTCCGTTTTTCATACCTCTCACGTTCTCTCTTTCTTCACATCAACTCTCTTGTAATCTATCGTATTGTCTCGTTACGTACGACGACCGTTTGCATATATCAGCATCCTGTGAGGGAGCGCTCCGCATTTCCTGCACATAGAAGTCCTCCGATGAGACCGGGATCGGTCCCTTCGCTTGGCGCTTGTCCAACGCAATACAAGAAGCATGATATTGATCAAGAGTGATAGGTGATACAACATAACAAGTTATGGACAGTGATATTGTAAGTGCAATGAATGGTGACAGTTTTCCAAGGTGTCAAGGGGGGACTGCAATGGACCCCTCTGGTAGTGCGGCCGGACTATCCATGTCGACGTCATCGGTCAAGTCTACAATCACAGGGTTCCCGGCGGTGCCCTCCATCGGTGTTCCCCGATCCGCCGGCGTGCCCGTCCCAGTCGAGCCATTGAACTCCTGCTTGAACTTGAAGCGCGATGGGAATGCGGGCATGGGACCCAGCGTAGGGCCGGACATACCCCTGTGCCTCGTATATTCCGATTCTTTGTCTTTAACAATAGTTAGGATAATGAACCCGCAACAGCAAATATGCCTACCGCCCAACCAGGTCTTAACAAAGAACCGTGTGCCTCCAATACCCTTGATCTCCCTGCTAACGTTGCGCCATTTGCGCACCTTGAACTTGATCCCCGCCCTGTCTATCGGCTGGGGCGGCGCTTGTTGAGGTTGGTTACTGGGCAGTTTAGGCGCCGGCTGGACAGGGCAAGCCCGACTAGGAATCCCATGTATGGGCATGAGGAGCCCGCCTCGTCCGTCGGTGGGTGCCATGCCAGGCTCGAGCCTTGGCTCTGGCGGGAGATATCGGATTTCTTGACTCGGAAGGGTAGGCTGGACGATGGGCGGAGGGTATGGTGCGCTCGCAGAGCGCTGTGAGCTGAGTTTGGCAGAGCTGGTGGGATGCTTGGGGCGTTCTGCGAGGTCCTGTTTGATCTGAAGAAGAGGTGGAGCGGGGATGGACGGGGCAGAAAGCTCGCCGCTCGGCGGGTGGTATTCCCTGAACATACCGGCACCGGATGCAGAGCCAGAGCCAGAATTAGGAGGCATCGTCGACAGGAAGGCGTCCGGAGTGCCTATTCCCCAGTCGATGAGTACTTATGCATACGAGAGAAAAGTTGCAACATACTATTGCTGTTGTTCAGCGCAGCAGCCTCTGCTTCCCATTCGGCCTTCTTCGCGCTATGATGGTTGTCAGGGCGCGGTTCAACAATGAGGAGAATTCGCACGCACTTTGTGATGCCCTTCCTCCAACCCCGTCCCGGCCCTGCTACCCCTCGCTTTCCGCCCCTGCTACCCCGTCCTCGTCCTCTCGCCGGCGGTGGGAGGGGAGGCATCACGTCATCCGACGGCGGGACGGTCTGACCCTCAGAGACATGAACAACCCACTCGGTTCCAATTTGCCGTGGTGGTGGAGACATGACGCGCTCGCCGATCTGCGCCAGACGCTTCTTGCGAGGTCCCCGCGAGCCTTTTCCACCCCGAGTTGAGCTAGACTTATGCGCGTGTAGGGGCGGGAGGGCACCTGTGCCACCAGGTACGGACGATGCTGCGTCATCATCGTCGTCATCATCGTCAGCGAGTTCGTCGACCATCTCTTCATCAGAGTCGCCCGCGTCGCTTCGCCTACTCAAAGTGACTGTTGAGGGTACACGAAGCTGTTCGGTAAGAATGATGTTAGCTGGCGATACCGAGGAGGAGCAGAGTCTTCACACGCCTTTACTTTGATCTTGTTAGCTGTTGATGTGCCCAATGGGGTGACATGCCTAAAGATGGGAGAAGGGGAGTCGTCGTCGTCGAGGGTTGAGATAGCGGGTGCCTCCATGAGTGAGCGGGATGGCGGTGATGAAGAGAGATGTATGCGCCTTAGATTGGCGGTGGTCGACGGCGACGACGTTGGACGCGCGATTGTCTCTCCCCTAAAGGCCTGATCGACGGATGAATCACTCCAAAATGTCTCGCGACTTCCCGATCACTTTCCATTTATGGCCAACTTTATTCTTACCTTCTTCCTTTCTTTTTCCCTCCACGCTCTCCGAGGATTATTCCTTGATGTATATACTATCACTAGCGTTGTCAAGCTTAAAATAGTAAAAAAATTCCATGCTATCGTTCAAAGAACTTCTCTTCCATTCCACGTAGCATCGCATATTCCAATATAATATTGCCATACCGAGCTATAAAAGTCAGGTTGATTCAATCCCTATTCGCACGACGCGGAAGTCACCATTGCTCCAAGCTGTTCTATTACAGTTCAGGTCAGAATATTCTTGTTATACCTCTACTTGGGCTATGCAATTATATGGTGCATTCTATGGATTGCGCTCATCTAGGGCGATGTGGTACCGCCACTCCGACAGTCTATTCAATATCTTATAACCGGTCAACATCCCGGTGTTGCTGTTGAAGAAGCGCTCCTGAGCAGCTTGCTGGACGCACGTCAACTGACAATGCGACCTCCATCTTCTTGGACCGTTCTCGTCAGCACACATACCACCAGCACAACTGCCAAGCCGTCTCCTCCTGTCGAGAGAAGACGTTTACTCCCTCACCAGGACCCTCCGACCACAGAAGTCTGTCTTGGTTGATTTCTTACCCAAGCGTCATCAACTATCTTCTTGCCAGCCATATGCAATCTACTTTCTCACATGACTCTATTGACACCCTGTGCGTCTGTTGGAATCTCCCAGACTCGAAGACAGCCTGTACATCACACGCTCCGACATCGGACGATGCTGTCCACCACAGGCCTTCACATGCCCATAAGTAGCTGTCCTCGTATGTCTGCCCCTTAATTCCCGTCACGCAACCTCTGACCCTCGAGATAGACGAGGGATGGCCGCATTCCAGAACAAGACCGTCCTTATCACAGGCGCGTCGGCTGGCATTGGCGCCGCCCTCGCCGAACGTTTATTCCCCATCTGCGACGCTGTTATCCTCACCGGACGGCGCGAGGCAAACCTCCAATCCATCTGCGCGGGGCACCCCAACGCTCATTACCGCGTGCATGACGCGACGGACCTGGCCTCCATCCCCGCCTTTGCGGAAGAGCTCATCTCCAGCTTTCCAAAGCTAGATTGCATAGTCCTCAACGCCGGCATCCAGCGCTCGCTTGACTTCTCCAAGCCAGAGAAGATCGACCTAAGCAAGATTGACCTCGAAATGACGACAAACTATACCTCCTACATCCACATGCTCAAGTACTTCCTCTCTCATCTGCTGAAGCAGCCTCAAGCCACAGTAGTGGGTGTGAGCAGCACGCTAGGAATGGTCCCAATCCCGCGCTGTCCAAACTACTGCGCGACTAAGGCGGCCCTGCATCATCTGCTCATCATCTTGCGGTACCAGTTGAGGGAGTAAGCCCCTGCTGTATCCTATAGAATTCCGGCTGACGTGTATGCAGCACGAGAGTAAAGGTGATTGAGATATTCCCGCCTGTGGTCAAGACCGAGCTGCACGCGCCGTTCAACCAGCCGGACCTCGCGGACGGAGAGGTGCCAATGAGTGCGTCCCCTGCCCTGCACTCCTGCCGACCAGGACTAACAGAAATCAGGTATCTCCCTTGAGGACTTTACCGATGCGGCTTGGGCGGGGCTTGTGCAGGGCAAGTCAGAGATTCCGGTCGGATTCGCGAATCGGTATTACGAAACTGTCGAGCGTGTGAGGCATAAGCAGCTTGAGAACGTGTTTGGTGCGTCTTCCTCTCTAAAGAAAAGGGGTACGAGCTTAGCATGTCTCAAGGTGGGAAGGCCAGCCTGGGATCTAACTGAACCGCGTAGTGGGGAAGCTGGACAGGGAGGGGAGGGATAGGAATAGAGATCGATCAGGGTTGACAAGTCGAACGAACGGTTACGTATTATCGTTATCACCAGTTCGGTTCCAACGTGTAAGTGCGGAAATTGCACACATCGCCTGACATGAGGTTTATTCAACTGGATTGACAACGGCACATGCAAACGAAAGTTCTTCTTAAGGTGGGGTGCTGAAACGACGAGATCAGACTCTCCACCACGGGGTTAGGCTTGCCATCAACGAGGGCATATTCCACATGCTTGATCGTCGTGATCGGCATATCACTTCAGCCAACTTATCTTCGATTCGCCGTGGTTTCGTTCGCCGACCAAAAATCTGGTGCTGCCGGTAAATGCATTGTCCAAGACATGCAGGTTAAACTGACCCATATCTGATCGAAACACGTGCTCCAGAGTCACGTGGGCTATGGTGCTGTACCAGGATTGCGTAGGTGCGCATTTCCTTAAATGGAAGTGCCTCCGCGGGATCAAATCTCGGCCAGGACGAGCGTGCAGTTTTCATCTCAAGCAGTGACAGTGTACAAATTACATTGACCACCTCAGGTGGACATAGAGATGGACATAGATACTTGAGAGAGCATTCACAATCATCTCATCCTCCGGAGTTCACAATCTGAAAAAAGTGTGGTGACTGGGAAAAAAGTGCACAACGCCAGGCCCTGGTGACAGGTGACACTGCACACCTACACATCCTGGTACAGTATTGGATGTGATGAACATGATGAAGTCCAGGAAAGTTTGGGCATGCTTCTTGTGTTTTCTAAAACACTAAGTATTGATGTACATGGCTCATATTGTGCCAGTCCCGCTTCTGTAAACCATTCTAGCTTATTACTCACTGGTGTCTTTCTGGTAGATCAAGTTTGCACTCATTACAAGGCATTCTGCAACAATCCTCTGGATTACAAAACAGTGTGCTGCATTTCATCATTGTGTAAAATGATAGCACAATGACCTTGGCAACATAGCCTCACACAAACAAGGTTACCAAAAGTTTGAAGGACTGTTACTGCCTCCTCAAATAATGACATCACCTTGTCATGCCCACTATGTTCTTCAGTAGTGTGTCAATGGTCTGACAGCATTCTGTAATGATCCTCCATCCCCATAGTCAAGGATAGCATTAAATACCACCCTCCCTTCTTAGAGAGATTGCTGCATCTGCATCAACATATCAGGTCTGAATCAGCAATATGTTTCAAGACTTCAGAAACATACAGCAGTGCTGCCAGGCTTGGGAATGGCCTCCAGGACAGCCTGTGCCTACTGATGCAGTTAGACCATGTCGTTGCATTGAGCCTGCATCACCTGGATGATTTGAAGACTCTCCATACATTGAGCTGCACCAAGGGGTTCAGAAATGGCTTTGAACATCACCTTGGCCTCCTGGAGCATTTGTGTGGTGGTGTCATACTGAGCTTGTCTTTGCAGGATGTCTCTGAGAATCTGAGTACATTGCATGATGCCCAGAGTGTTTGAAATGGCTTCAAACATGTCTCTTGCTTCCTCAAGAAGTGGTGCAGCATCATCATAATAACCCTGCTGAGCCAGCACATCACTGAGAGTCTGTATGCTCTGGGCAACACCAGTGGCATGTGGAATAGCCTCAAACAACATCCTTGCCTCCTTCAGCAGTGGTACTGCATCACTGTAATGAGTCTGCATGTGCTGAACATCACTGAGAGTCTGCATGCATTTTGCAATGCTGAGGTGGTTGACAAGAACTTTGAATTCTGCCTTCACTTCCTGGAGCAGTTGGGCCAAGTCCTCATAGTGTTCTTGTATGCACAGGATCCCACTCATAGTATAAAGACACTGTGCCATGTTGGAGGGGCTCAAGGTAGCCTTGAACCCTTCCCTTGCCTCATGCAGGAGGGAGAATGCTTCATCATACCAAGTTTGTACACACAAGATATTCCCAAGAGACTGCAAGCACTCTGCAGCACTTGGACAGTCCTTGATATCCTCAAATATTGCTCTTGCTTCCTGGAGAAGTTGTGTTGCCTTGCCATATCATGCTTGCATCTGCAGGATGTTACCAAGACTTTGCACATATTGTGCTGAACTGTCAGGGCACCAGCTCATTGCTTGGTCAAGAGACATGACTAAGCCTTTATGACA